ACTGAGCCGCCACTGCTGAGACCTGGGTTTGATACTCTTAGTTCTTTCGGTAAAATCACGTAGGTAAAAAATGAAATTAAAATTAATAAAAAATAAAATAAAAATCACGACGTTTCGGAGGCAACACAAGTCTCCGTCATCAGTTGGGACCGTCACAGCCAGATTTGCTGCATCATTTGACTTCATTTGACTCCAGGTTTTGACCGCCCATGATTCAAGACTACGGGTGCCGCGGTACCGAGATGTTAACTACCTCGCCCGGTATGCAAGAAGTCGTATGTTGAATCCTGACGCCTGTATATTTGAAGTTTTCATGTTCTTTCCGTGGTCGCGGGGCCTTTTCTCCGGATGCTCCGGTTTTTTCCCTCCACGTTTAGCAACGTGCATTTCGAGGATTTGGCTGCTATATATTTCCACACGATATAAGCCACTTCAACTGGGCTATCGTTTGTGGCCAGGTCGCTTCTGAAAAAGAGCTAGATAACTCAGTGGGGCCTTACCTGGTTAAATACAAAAATAGATTATAGTTTTTTTTTGTCATGTACATTATTTAGGGTCTCTCACGTTTCCTTTTAAGGCCACAGCGTTCGTTATCCACGAATGTATTGCGTTCGTGTTTCTTTATTTGTCTTCGTGCAGCAGTGCCAACGCAGCAACAGCAGCAGCAGCATCGCCAAGATAATTTGTCAAGATCCTTGAAAACGCAAATGAATGTCAATTACCACTGCGTCTGGCCTTCGTATGCTCACGAAAGGGGGCCACTTGAACGGGTGTAATCCGACGCAGGCGTCCCAGCTCTCCTCAAGTGAGGGGTTGATAATTTTGACCACTTCTCGATTTCTATTATAATTATTTTATAATTGAAAAAAATAATTTGTATCGACAGAACAGCTCCACTCCAGGCTGCATGAAATTTTCAAATAGAATGAGCGGAGAGCCACGCGAGGATATTCTGCTCTCGCCAAGGTTATTCCCAGCGACGTGAGAAAATATTTCTCCAAATTAGGATTGGAGCAAATGTAATCACGACTTGGACGCACTTGTCTTGAGATGGTTTCTTTATTAAGGAGCCACATGCCCACACTCGGGACAGGCGGAGACCCCCACTGCAACAGCCCCGAGTCTCCCGCGCATCTCCCTTTTATATACGGTCCGAGGCCACGCCCCCATTCCCGAACTTTCTCTCTGGTTCTAGATCGCTCGCTCTACCAGCTGACTCCACCATCCTCTTCCATCACCTGGCCATGCTCCTATTCTCGATCATTCCCGTAGCCACCAGTCCATTCGTACTGCAGGCTGACTCCCCTGTCATTACCTCCCGTGGCCACCAGTCCACTCGCACCATAGGCTGACTCCCCTGTCATTACCTCCCGTGGCCACTAGTCCACTCACACCGTAGGCTGACTCCCCTGTCATTACCTCCCGTGGCCACTAGTCCACTCACACCGTAGGCTGACTCCCCTGTCATTACCTCCCGTGGCCACTAGTCCACTAGCACCGCAGGCTGACTCCCCTGTCATTACCTCCCGTGGCCACTAGTCCACTCACACCGTAGGCTGACTCCCCTGTCATTACCTCCCGTGGCCACTAGTCCACTAGCACCGCAGGCTGACTCCCCTGTCATTACCTCCCGTGGCCACTAGTCCACTCACACCGCAGGTTGACTCCCCTGTCATTACCTCCCGTGGCCACTAGTCCACTCACACTGCAGGCTGACTCTCCTGTCATTACCTCCCGTGGCCACTAGTCCACTCGCACTGCAGGCTGACTCCCCTGTCATTACCTCCCGTGGCCACTAGTCCCCTCGCACTGCAGGCTGACTCTCCTGTCATTACCTCCCGTGGCCACTAGTCCCCTCGCACTGCAGGCTGACTCTACTGTCATTAAACAAATAAAGGCATAAAATATGAAGGGGGAAGGAACGATTTGCCCGTTTTAGAGTGGTTGTTTTACACCCCCAGTCGTCGTGGCAACCGCGCGATTGAGACGAACGGCAGGAAATTATTTAAGAAGTTAACGACGCGGGGGCTGTCAGGTTGGGCTCAAGATACAAAAACACATTCGCGAGCAACACAAAAGTTGTTGCACAACAAGTTCGCTCAAATTAAGGAAATCGTCGTCGGAGGGACCCAATGGGAAGAAAAAAGACAAAGATCCCCCGTATAGCCTTTACAGAGTGTTGGGGCAAGTGCTGTTATCGAGTAGCCACTTATAAAGGCGAGAACTGCACACGAGGGGGTGGGTGGCCAACACCACGCCCGACCGCCTTCGTCTCCCTAGTGGCGATGTTTACACACCGCACCAGGTACTCATTTGAGGCTGAGTCGACCTAGGGGAGGCCCAGGACCGGTTCAGATAATCGTCACCGGTGTTGGCCGTGAGCGGGAATCAAACTCGGGTCGCCGGGTTCGTAGCGCAGCGTAGCGCTAATCGGGGCGGGAGGAAGCTCTTCATCCAGCAGTGGATTGACACCCGGATATAAACTATGATCATACGAGATGGGAAATGCAAAGTTTTACTCGCTGGCTGGCTGCCTGGGGAGCGGGGAGCGACGGACGGTCATGTCCAATGAATGTTCAGGATGATAACTTTGTCTTCTTGGTTCTTTCGGTAAAGTCACGTAGAAGGGAAGTTATAAAATAATAAAAATAAAACATAATAATATTATTATGTTTTATTTTTATTATTTTATTAAAATAATAAAAATAAAACATAATAATATTATATTATTATAATTTTTATTATGTTTTATTTTTATTATTTTATTACTTCCCTTCTACGTGACTTTACCGAAAGAACCAAAAAGATGAATCCCTGCAGTCACGAAAGCTTTAAATCGAAATGATAACTTTGCTTTAAGAAACGTGATTCTTGAATAATGAACGGCACCTTTGTGGACACAGAGCTGAATTAATCGGCTGCCAGAGTAAGCGGCGGGTCATCCACTGCTTTTCTGCCAGCGCCGATGCTGCAGCCCATTGCATCGACTCAACGGTGGCCGCGTCGCGCGGCGCTCTCAGGTGCGCTTCCGTGGCCGTCTGGAACGTTCTTCCTGCCCGATATTAGCAGGTGTTCATATTCTTAGGTTTTCTCGGTAAAGTCACGTAGGTAAATTTTTTTTTTAATTAATAAACGTAAAATAAAAGAAATAAAAGAAATATAATTTAAAAAATATTTTACATTTTTTTTTACCTAAGTGACTTTACCGAAAAAAACCTAAGAATATGAATCCTTGCAGTCACGAAAGCTTCAAATCTAGAATAAGCAGGTGCGTAACTAGCGCTGGGGGGGCAGGGGGTGCCTTGCCCCCTCCCCCTTCCCCGCCCCCCTCTCCCCCTCCCCTCGGTGGCTACGAGATGGGGGCCCCCCTTGACAACCAACATGTGATATGTTTTCAACAACAGTGTCAAATTTCGATTTAAAGCTTTCGTGACTGCAGGGATTCATCTTCTTGGTTCTTTCAGTAAAGTCACGTAGAAGGGAAGTAATAAAATAATACAAATAAAACATAATAAAATAATTCTCACGACGTTTCGGCCACAATTCAAGCAGCCGTCCTCAGGTGAAAACCAGGTCCGTCGAGGCGACAGAGTCTGAATGAAACAGCACACGAGCTTGGAGCATATATATAAGCTGGGCGCCTTGACAAAGAAAGAACGCAGACGCATGTAATGATGTTGTTAGGTGAGAGGAGCCGCGATGTGGAATCGCGCCTTGGTGCCACCGTGCGAGACAAATTGAATATCGAGGCCCCAGCTGACAGATGATGTCCGCACCCTCTGAGCTGATGTAGTCACTTCGCCACTGGAGCTATGCACTTTGAAAATCTCGATTGAAAACTCATTGGTTGTTCTTCCACCGCACCTCCCATTGGCGCGGTTGGCCACGTACGGCGCGAAAGAAGTTCAACTCGCGACGGACATGGCACCGCTACAAAGACATCGCTACAGAAAGAAGAAAACAAGCACTCAAAGCCACGCGGAGACTGAAGGAGGGATCCCTTTGAAGATCACGTCCGCGTGCTGTGGGCGTTCGAAGGCTCAATATCCCACACGGACGGGCGGATGGACCGACACGAGACGTTTCCATCTTCCCCCCCCCCCCCCCAACCTTTGAGCTCAAACAATGATGCTCAATTGGATGAAACGCGCGTGTTGGTGCCTTTCATGTAGAAGCCACACGCAGTCGCCGGTCACCAAGGGTGCTTCCCCACACACCCCCCCCACCCCCCCACACACACCCCCACACACCCCCCCACACACACACCCCCCCACACACCCCCCACTATAAGAGGCAACGGGAGGGCGATCATTGCCACGCGTTTGCCAGGAAGAGTCGGACGCGTGGATCGAAGGCAGCGAGCCGAGCGGTCAAAACAAACACAAAAAAACCCGGAAAAAAGCGACGCGCTCGTCGACTCGACGACGTTCGCCGTCGTCGTCGTTCCGTTTGTCCGACGTTTCGAGAGGCGCGCCTCGCTGCAGCGCGGGACGCGCGGCGGTCAGAGGCACCGGAGCGAGCGAGCGAGACGGCCCCGCGGTGAAAACTTTGGACGTCGCGAGAAGTCGACGGAGACGCGCTGTCAGCACCGCGTCCGTTACGCGCTTAACACATTTGATAATTATTATAATTATTATTATTGTTGAATTTTTTTTGTTTTACCAACGGCAATTATTATCATTGTTTTTTTTTATAAATTTACCACCGGCAATTATTAATATAATTGTTTTTACAAAAAAAATTACAAACGGAAATTATTATTGTTGCTTTTAATTTGCGAACCTACGGCAATTTTTCTTTATTTTTTTTTCTTACAACCGACAATCAACGTCGACCGCGATGCACGCGAGGACGGCCCCCACGTCCAGCATGGTGGTGACTCCCAACAGCATCCCACAGTTCTTCATCCCGCACGCAGCGAGCCCAGCAGCAGCAGCGAGCCCAGCAGCAACCGAGCAGCGGTCCGAGAATCCGCGCGAACACCCCAACCCCGACCGCACCAGAAGAGCCATCGCCCTCTCCTCCACCTCCTCCTCCACCCACGACCTCCAGGGCACCCGTCTCACCGACGTCACAGAGGGCACGTCCCCGCTCCCGCACCTGCCCCGCATCACCACTCCCTACGGCTTCCAGACACTGGCGCACAGCCCCAACACGCGGCGCAAGGAGTCGTTGTTTTTCGAGCCGGGCGGCGGTGGTGGCGGTGGCTCTCCCGGTGCAGCGGACGCAGTCCTCCTCCTGCAGTCCATGACGCTGTTGCGTGCCGGTGGCTCCCGCGTGCGCAGCCGGTCCACGAGCCCTCGCCCGTCCGCCTCGAGACGCGCTCCCGGTACGGGCCGGGCAGCAGCAGCAGCCGCAGCAGCCGGTGACGACGACGATTGCGGTCACCTCCGAGAGGAGCCGGCGTCGTTGCTGAGCGTGCGCGCGATGTCGTGCGAGGTGCTGCACGCCGACACCGCCTCTGCCGGTGGCGCCGGCTCCGTGCCACTAATCACCGTGTCCCGGCCAGACGGAGGCCCCCAAGTGGCGGGGTCCGGGGCTAAGAAAGGCGCTGGGAAGATCCACCTACGGGGAATTATCCGCAGGCACATCCCCGGGCTGAGGCTCTCCCGGTCACCGGACTCGTTGAAGGCGTCGCGCTCCGCCACCGGTGACGCGTGAACGTGGATGCCGCGTCGGTGGACGTCGAATAAGTCATCGTGGCCAAAGGCGTTGATGCCGCCACCACCACCAATTTCCACCACCGCATCTCATCGACAACCGCGTTGGGCTTTCCGCTGCTCCAGCACAAAGGACATCTGCCCCGAGAGTGTCATCCCAGCATCTGGCGTGAGCAGTCAACGTGCAATGAAGAACGTGGTTTTATTGTAACAACTGCCGCTGCGATGGCTGCTTATTGATTCGCAATAATCGATCAGTTCGAGTGAGTGAAGAGGCGTTCTATTGACACTAAACTACCGTAGCTTGCGCGGTGTTTTCTTTGTCAACGACGATTTCAAATGTAAACGTGGGCTCGGATGCACACTCATTACAGGCGCGGGTGGGAAGCATTGCGTGTTAAAGCAAATGCAAGGACAACTCTGTCCTCTCTCTCCACGTTCAGATTAAATATGTTATAGTCTATCGCCCTACAAGTACAGGATATGGCTTTCCATTGCAATATTGTGCGGCTGCATTTGTTTAAACAGAGAAAGTCTGAGAGTCGGGCTTGTTTCAACAAAGCCTGTTTCAACAAGCTCGACATCTGCTGATGAGACCCAGAAGATTGAAACTGGCCCAGGTTTTTCTTGCTGAAATAACTCCTGACAGGTAATGTTGGCCCGGATCACCAATACGTTGGCAGGCTCGAGTACAGGTTAAAATTGTCTTCAAATGATACTTTTGCTAGAGGTGGTTAAATATTGATTCTTAAGCTCATAATTACATGCATCTAAACACGTCCGAATCGATGTTTTTTTTTAATATATTCGTTGATGTCTGTAATTGGTTCACGTGATCCCTGCAGCCACTTGTGGCCGCTACATTTACCACAATGTAAAGAAAAAAAACCAATTGATTCTTGAATCGAATCACGATACTGAATTGCGGCGATCCATAAAATCGCTGGGTAGGCGAATCATCGCGTACATTCAGAATGTCAAAACAGTCTGAAAATATGATATTAATGCGATGCACAGAATATAATAATTATTATAATAATGTTTAACACATAGCAGGCTTTCGCGACCAATATTATTCATAATCAACGTTTTTGGGTTTAGATTGCGTTATTTATAAATGTGTCGTAACCCTCCACCACCCGACACGGCCAATCAGCAAAAAAGTGTCACGTTGACAAAAGACAAATAGTTCACTGCTTTAGCCCACCGGTGTGTTGAAGCATGAAACCACAACATTTACAATTTGAGTAATTGCCCGATGATGCTGGATGCAATTACCAGCGAAATGTCGTACTCAAATTGTAAATGTTGTGGTTTTCATGCTTCAACACACCGGTGGGCTAAAGCAGTGAACTATTTGTCTTTTGTCAACGTGACACTTTTTTACTGATTGGCCGTGTCGGGTGGTGGAGGGTTACGACACATTTATAAATAACGCGATCTAAACCCAAAAACGTTGATTAATGAATATTATAATAATGTACAGCCGCTGTGTTAATCTACTGCTGGATGAAGGTCTCCCCACGGCAGTGTCAGTCATGGGGGTTGTTTGACCATACTTCACCACGCTGATGAAGGGAGTGTCAGAACTCGGTATTGATCGCCACTGATGGTGGCCGTGACTGGGAATTGAACTCGGGTCACGCGGTTCACATCGCAGTGCGTTGCGTGCAAACCACTCCGCACAAAATACAATTATTGAAACTTATCCATGACATTCCGAGAATTATGTGTGCCGCATGAGACGCAAATTGGCTGTTGGTTCAACATTTCAATTGCCAACCAGGCATATTATTGTTATTCTCCGTACATTCAGTTCGTCCCAGAACGTCTCCCACCTTAGATCTTTTGGCCCGCGGGTGCATCGTGCGTTGGAGATAATATTAAACAAGTAAACCCGTAAAAACAAAGTTTTTCACTATAAATCCTTTATATGCGTGGCATCGGGCGGCTAGAGTCCTCTCGTCCTCTGGCTTGAGATGGCTGCCACCTATGGGTCAGCTAATTGTCTGGCAGCATTAAACAATTGGTAATGAAATATGTAAACAAATTTCCCTAAACAGTGTAAAATTTTGGAATTTTTTTCTCACGAAAATGCATTGTCACGCACAACGAGTGTGTGTGCAAAATGTCAGCTCGATTGGATCACGGGAAGTGGGTTAAAAAACGACCGAAAGATTTGCACGGTCCTAAGCAAGCAAGAGAACTTAATATAAAGGATTTTTAAAAAAATTTGATCCATTTCCCCCCCCCCCCAATCTAATGTCGATTGCGCTCTTGGAATCGCATCACAAGACGGGGAGAGCCCTTTCGCATCTCTCGCAGGACACGGCAACCCCTTCGTTTAAGAAAACGGCCCACGGAAATGGCTATCACAGAGTTACCTCTGAGATCTCCTTTAAGGGCTTTCAGGTCCGCACAGTCGGGGGGGGGCGGCACTTTCCCACTCGCTCTGAAATACGAGCGTGATGTGCGTCACGTGACAGTCAAACCGATATTGGAACGCAAATTAAATGCGGAATCGAATTTGATCTGATGTTTGTTTTTGTTGTGGTCCGGTCGAAAACAACAACGAGCGACACTTTCTGTGCTGTCCCGAAATCGGTCCTCGCAAAATCACTTTGTCCTAACGGCCTGCATTTGCTTTAGTCTCATGCGATATACAGAGTCGTCAAGGGAATCTAGCCAGTGTAATCATAGACGGCTTACCTTCATCTGAACTCGACTCAGCGTTCCGACCTTCTGACCTCTGAGCCACCCGGCCCCCTTCGTCTTGCCGGCAATGTTTAGCGAACGTGTGTCAACACCCCATGATTATATTTAACAACAGCACGGGAAATGTTGTTTACCCATTTAAACAAACCCTTCCGGCAATGGCTGTGCCGGGCGGTGGGGTACAAGGTTAGGTTTATTGAAAGGAAAAAAACACTTGACTATGGAACACAAGACTAAGCCCCCTCCACACAGCCAGCAGGTGACCCACAATTAACCCGGTGTAGCATTGCTATTCTGAATACTCACAGAATATCGCACGGAATGTTTTATATATTTCTTTTATGTTGGGGATATAGCGTGTTCATCAGACCTTTGTTTCAAAGTCGGCACGTGGTGGCTACACGATGTGCACGCCTGAAGGATCTCTGGAGTGAGGGAGGGTTGAAGCTGGTTGGTGCTTGGATGGGTAATGTAATGATACCACAATCATTACAGATGGGTAACCACCAGCAGCAGTGCAGGAGATTGGCGGTGCAGCAATTGGGGTTTTGGTCCACAGCTCGTTTCGGTCCAGTGTCCTCCCGCATGCCAAAAAGCTCGTTAATGGGATTGGTCAAAGCATCAGACAATAGGAGCCTGCTGAAGCAGTCTTGAGAATCAATGAGGCTTTCCTGGGTGTTATACATTTCATTATCATCAATAGAAAACAACCCATACGTATCTTTCGATTTAAAGCTTTCGTGACTGCAGGGATTCATCGTCTTGGTTCTTTCGGTAAAGTCACGTAGAAGGGAAATAATAAAATAATATGCTAATTTGATTTTAATGATATGCCAATTATAATGACATCCCACGCATATTATAATGCGTGTGTACATTGAACCCGATTGAACGAGCGATAGCACTAATTATCCCACGCAAACGAGACCATTAATAATCGAGTCTTGAATTGTTGTTTGAACTCTGAGATCGGATTCTGCAAGGTGTATTGTAGAGTAAAATACAATTAACATCTTACGGGAGGGAGCGGTGGGACAGCGGTTAGCGCACTGATAATACTAACCCAGCCAGTCTGAGTTAAATTTCAGAATATCGGGCCAGGGATAACGTCAGCGGTGAATAATATCCGAACCAAGTAATCATCCCCACCCCACCATAAACATAACTCGCAATGACCGGCATAGTGAAGTATGTTATGGGACCTCCTTTGTCAGTAGCAAACTATGAGAATAGGTTCTCCCCTTTATTCTGGCAACAAAACAGCTGTGTCAAGATGTTAAACACCAAACTGAAACCTTTTACAGGGAATCATGTCTGCATTAACCACAGATACTTGTGGTCAGAATGCAAAAAAAACATACTGATAATATATACATTCGTCCTTGAAATTGATTGGTCCACACCAGAGACAGCTTTCTTTTGAGCCTCGTCTCAAACGGTGTTAGACCAGAGGCTCGAAAGAAAGCGGTCTCTGGTGTGGACCAATCAGTTTCAAGGACAATGCAATATATTATCAGAGTATGTTTTTTTTGTTTGCATCCTGATCACAATCAGTGGTTAATGCAGACATGATTCCTTGTAAAAGGTTGCAGTTTGGTGTTTAAACATCTTAACACAGCTGTTTTGTTGCAAGAAAAAAGGGGAAACCCGATTCTCATGGTGAAGTATGGTTAAACAATCTCCCACGACCGACCACGGCGTGCGAAGAAGAAGACCTTTCATCCAACAGTAGCCAACGGCTGTAAATGATCATCGTAATTGTTTTCTTTATCATGATTATAACGCGCGGTCTGTTCCAAGCTGCTGTGTATATGGCCCCCAGAGCTCGCGTGATTATCATTGCTGCGTTGACTGACGATCGCTCGTTGCTTTGACGGCGAAGGCTTGAGAAACGTAAAACATCCATCCGCTGGTTACGCTCATTCGCTCGTCCGCGAGACATTTAATTTGCGAATGCCCACGGGGGCCCCTGTGCGGAGGAGACTCGTCGTCGGGACGCCCGTGTTTACCGACCCTGCGTCGCGGGGGCGAGCGCCCTTCGTTAGCGCGCGGCCGTGTGATCTTTTGTGTCGCTGTAATTAAGAGACAGTGCCACGCAACCCACATCATCATCATCCATAATATAGATTTTTTTCGTGGTTGGATCGCGTAAATATAAATGAGACATGTTCTGTTTACGTGACAAACATTACTAATTGGCTGTGTCGGGTGGTGGCGGGATTAACGACACATTTATATATTTACGCGATCTAACCCAAAAAAAACCCTGTATTATGGATATTGGTCGCGAAAGCCTGCTTCGTGTTAAATCATCATCGTCATCGTCATCATCCACCCTCGTCGTCGCTTTGCTGCCACTGCCGCTGCTGCCCCGATCCCCTCCGTGTTATCTCGATGCTGGTGGTGTCACCCATCCTAGAGTCTCACCCAGATCCAGAAAAACGCGGTTGTTGTCGCAATCCCCGTTCGAATTTTGCTGCTGCTGCAGAGAAATTGCTGCTGCTGCAGTTGTAGCTGCCACCCATCCTAGAATCTCACCCAGATCCAGAAGAACGGTTCCCACTGCAGCTGTCCGTACAGCAGCAAATTGTGACGAGGCAACTTCGAAGACTTTCAAGCCGAATATTTCCAGGACGGCTTCCAGAAATTACGGGGCCATTTAGCAATTGGGGCACATGGGCTATTCACACCCGAACTTCTAGGGAGGATGTAATTAATTAATCCCGCGAACCTGTCGTCCGAACCTCGTATTGTACTGGACATGTATAAAAAAAAGCCTCAAGTTCATCGGATTTCTCCAGGAAAAACTAAGATTCGAATTCAGAAGAGGGCGGCTGCAGTCAGCGCTCCAACATCATTCCCAGCAACGTCCCGAAAGACGCAGCAGGCAAGCATGTTCACTGCAATAAAAACTTTATTACTCCGGGTTAACACACAGCAAAAAGCAGGGACATTGATGCGTTGTGAAGTAAACATACAGTAAATATACAGTATACGTGCAAAACTGGCTTTGAATAAAACACTTTTTTGTTCTTGAAATGTTCCCGCGATGTTCCACGGATCGACGATTCAGAGCCGGAACGTGAAGGACTCTCGGCTGTTCAGCCTGGTGTGCCACGTCGCCACCACCACCATGACCACCATCATCACCGCCATCATCATCATCATCACTGCCATCACCACCATCCCCACCATCACTGCCATCAACACCATCACTGCCACCACCATCACTGCCATCACCATCACTACCATCACCACCAACCCCACCACCACCGTCACTGCCATCACCATCACTGCCATCACCATCACTGCCATCACCACCATCACCACCATCCCCACCACAATCACCCCTGGCATCACCACCACCACCACGACCATCGCCATCACCGCCACCACCACGACCACCATCCAGTCATCACCACCATCCCCACCACCACCACCCCCAGCATCACCACCACTGCCACCACCTCCACACACGCCACCTTGTGTACGTGTGTGCGCGTGTCCCGCGTGACGTAGAGCCCCGTTTTAAAGGACAACCGTGCCAACACAATCGTGTTCAAACATTCACCTTCACACCTCTGCCGCCACGCGGGGAACCAAAGTGCCTGACCTGGGGTTGGTGCGCAAAACGCCGAGACCTATAATATATCGTCTTTTACACGGTCATGTGACCATCGGCTGCCATCTTGGGCTGCCACCAACTGGTGGGTATTTAACGCCACGCATCGATTCGTCGACTCAAGACCGATTATTTTTGCTCCCGATACGCACGCAAGAATGAGCTACCTATCCATAATTGATATAAATAGAACAAAACAATGTATCTTTTTAAATTATATTGCTCGCGTACATCGAGGTTTATGGAACAAACGAGACAGAAGATGCAACCGACATTGCCAATGTAAACGAGATAGTACACAAATGATGCTGTGGTTGAAATTCCACATTATTGTGACGGGTGCCAGTAAAGGGACATTGGACAACCACTGCTGACTCACCCCAATGTGGTAGAGTACTCACTTTATGGTCTGTGGAGCGATATTGGGCTGAACTGACCCAGCAACCGGATTCAAACCCACATCCTTCCTATCGTGAGCCAGGCATTCTATCACTGCACCCACTTAGTCAGATTAAATCCACTGGAGTTGGCCTCTGGGCACATCTGCAGCACTAAAGGTTCGTGCTGCGCATATTTGATTCCGGGCTTTTATCACCTTGATTCACCTGGGAAAGATCAACCTCTATAGGTCCCGCCCATTCTCATTCAGGCCCCGCCTCCTGTTTAGGCCACACCCCTTACTCAGGGCACGGGTTCAGGCTTGTTTGGGGGGTGGTGGGGGTTGTGGAGGGAGGGGGTTGGGAGGGGAGTGTGAGCAGTCGGAGCTGGGGATGGGGGGGGGGCAAGTTAGGGGTGGGCGAGGCTAGAGTAGGAGTGGGCGGGGCTAGGGTAAGAGTGGGCGGGGCCAGGGAAGAAGTGGGAGGGGCTAGGGCAGGAGTGGGCGGGGCTAGGGTAAGAGTGAGCGGGGCTAGGGTAAGAGTGGGCGGGGCTAGGGTAAGAGTGGGCGGGGCCAGGGAAGAAGTGGGCGGGGCTAGGGCAGGAGTGGGCGGGGCCAGGGAAGTGGGCGGGGCAAGGGTAGGAGTGGGTGGGGCCAGGGAAGAAGTGGGCGGGGCCAAGGAAGAAGTGAGCGGGGCCAGGGAAGTGGGCGGAACCAGGGAAGAAGTGGGCGGGGCTAGGGTAATAATGGGTGGGGCCAGGGTGAGAGTGGGCGGGGCCAGGGAAGAAGTGGGCGGGGCCAGGATAGGGGTGGGCGGGGGTAGTTGGGGTGAGGCTTCTTGGGGAGAACCAGAATTCCTCTGGTTGCGCAAGAGCGCAGAAGGGTGGTCAACACATCTACACCATCCCCACCACCACCACCCCCAGCATCACCACCACTGCCACCACCTCCACACACGCCACCTTGTGTACGTGTGTGCGCGTGTCCCGCGTGACGTAGAGCCCCGTTTTAAAGGACAACCGTGCCAACACAATCGTGTTCAAACATTCACCTTCACACCTCTGCCGCCACGCGGGGAACCAAAGTGCCTGACCTGGGGTTGGTGCGCAAAACGCCGAGACCTATAATATATCGTCTTTTACACGGTCATGTGACCATCGGCTGCCATCTTGGGCTGCCACCAACTGGTGGGTATTTAACGCCACGCATCGATTCGTCGACTCAAGACCGATTATTTTTGCTCCCGATACGCACGCAAGAATGAGCTACCTATCCATAATTGATATAAATAGAACAAAACAATGTATCTTTTTAAATTATATTGCTCGCGTACATCGAGGTTTATGGAACAAACGAGACAGAAGATGCAACCGACATTGCCAATGTAAACGAGATAGTACACAAATGATGCTGTGGTTGAAATTCCACATTATTGTGACGGGTGCCAGTAAAGGGACATTGGACAACCACTGCTGACTCACCCCAATGTGGTAGAGTACTCACTTTATGGTCTGTGGAGCGATATTGGGCTGAACTGACCCAGCAACCGGATTCAAACCCACATCCTTCCTATCGTGAGCCAGGCATTCTATCACTGCACCCACTTAGTCAGATTAAATCCACTGGAGTTGGCCTCTGGGCACATCTGCAGCACTAAAGGTTCGAGCTGCGCATATTTGATTCCGGGCTTTTATCACCTTGATTCACCTGGGAAAGATCAACCTCTATAGGTCCCGCCCATTCTCATTCAGGCCCCGCCTCCTGTTTAGGCCACACCCCTTACTCAGGGCACGGGTTCAGGCTTGTTTGGGGGGTGGTGGGGGTTGTGGAGGGAGGGGGTTGGGAGGGGAGTGTGAGCAGTCGGAGCTGGGGATGGGGGGGGGGCAAGTTAGGGGTGGGCGAGGCTAGAGTAGGAGTGGGCGGGGCTAGGGTAAGAGTGGGCGGGGCCAGGGAAGAAGTGGGCGGGGCTAGGGCAGGAGTGGGCGGGGCCAGGGTAAGAGTGAGCGGGGCTAGGGTAAGAGTGGGCGGGGCTAGGGTAAGAGTGGGCGGGGCCAGGGAAGAAGTGGGCGGGGCTAGGGCAGGAGTGGGCGGGGCCAGGGAAGTGGGCGGGGCAAGGGTAGGAGTGGGTGGGGCCAGGGAAGAAGTGGGCGGGGCCAAGGAAGAAGTGAGCGGGGCCAGGGAAGTGGGCGGAACCAGGGAAGAAGTGGGCGGGGCTAGGGTAATAATGGGTGGGGCCAGGGTGAGAGTGGGCGGGGCCAGGGAAGAAGTGGGCGGGGCCAGGATAGGGGTGGGCGGGGGTAGTTGGGGTGAGGCTTCTTGGGGAGAACCAGAATTCCTCTGGTTGCGCAAGAGCGCAGAAGGGTGGTCAACACATCTACGCCTCGATATAAGGAACGAAACAGTTAGACTTCTCCACAAATCTGGCTGGCGCCTGATGAAGCTAGTTGTAATTACTGGCGAAAAGTCGTACTCAGATTATAAACGTTGTGGCTTGGCTCTCCAACACACCGGTTAGTGCTGTACTGGTGACGAATTGGCACGTTCTGTTTACGTGACAACCCTTACTAGTTGGCCGTGTCGGGTGGTGACGGGTTTAACGACACATTGATATATTTACGCGCTCTAACCCAAAAACCTCTATTATTGACAATAATAGATTAAGCGGTCGTGAACCATAATTGTCCAGAGACATTGGTGGCAATTCCAACGTTTCTATGACAGATACGAGTATGTATCCAAGCAAACAAACGATTCTGCGCCGCATTCAGTCAGGCTTCCCTGCATAAACGTTGACATCGCCTGCCTCGCAGGAGACACAACGCGCGCCGGCGGATAGAGACCCAGAGTCAGAGGTCGCAAACGGGTTTTGATTCCTTACCCGTACCTGGCCGCACCAGGGTCGCAAATTGGTACCCGTACCTTACCCGTACCCTACCCGATACCCGGCCGGGTACGGGTAGCCGGGTATCGTGTAGGGTACGGGTATCGGGTACCCGATTGCGACCTCTGCGATGAAGCCATGTTGCAGGCGCGGGTGGGTTGATTCTAGGAACTTGAATTGTGAGAAGAGACAAGACGTTGGGAAATGAGTGACAAACGGTTACTCACCAGGGACTCACGGCCTACCCGTACCCGGCCGCACCAGGGTTGAAAACGGGTACCCGTACCCAGCCGGGTACGGGGAGCCGGGTATCGTGTAGGGTACGGGTATCGGGTACCCGATTGCGACCTCTGCCCAGAGTCCTCTATCCCCCCCCCCCACCACCCGCCAAAACCACGGTTAAGTGCACAGCGGATGAGAGGAATTCCACCGGACGAACGAATCGGCGCCGCCCGCCGCCGCCGCCGCCTCCATTGTCCTCAACTGTCGTCGTCGTCGCTGCTGTTCTGCTCGTGGCCGCACCCCGAGTGGAAGGCGTCGGCGAGCGATCGCAGGACGTGCAGCGCCTCGGGCAGCTCGCCGGGCTCCGTGCCGGCCGCCAGCAGCCCCGGCAGGCGGCGCTCGTCCACGAGGGACAACTCCCGGCACAGCGCCAGCAGCGACGTGCGCAGCGCCGTCCCGGACTGCGTGGCGGTGAGCACGGGGTAGCTCGCCACGGCTGGGTACGGGCAGCGAGGGAGGCAGGGAGGGAGGAGCGGCGTTAGCGAGCGTCTATTCAGATCAGCGTGGCGAATGCAGGGGGCGGTGTGGCCTGCGCCACGTTCCGGCTGCCTTTGTCTCCCCGGTGCCGATGTTTACACTGTGTACCCGGTACACATTTCGAGTTAACCTCGGCGAGGCCTGGGATTGGTTCAGATGATCACCGCTGATGTTGGTCGTGGCCGGGAACAGAAGTTGGGCCGCCGGGTTCGTAGCGCGGTGCTCTAAACACTTCGCCACCGGTTCACCCTACCCTACACACAAAGCCAAAGATCCCCCCCCTCCCATAAGGCCAACACAGCCTGTTGGGGCAAGTGCTATTCGTAAACACTTTACACAAAGACAAGGATCCCTCGCCTAGCCTTAGCAGGCTGTTGGGGCAAGTTCTGTTAGCGAATAGCATGACACACGAGGGGGTGGGTGGCCAGAACCACACCTGGGCCGCCTTTGTGTGTGCGCTTGCGTGTGTCGTTTTTTTTCGTGTGGAGCAGTGGTGCAGTGATTAGCGCGGTGCGCTACGAACCCGGCGACCCGAGTTCGATTCCTGCTCATTTTAGTGGACCTAGGGGAGGCCCATGACCGGCTCAGATATTCGCCACCAATGTCGGCCGTGGCCAGGAATCGAACTCGGGTCGCCGGGCTCGTAAGTTAAGAGCTGCAATACCGCACTTCACACGCGCACGCACGCACGCACGCACGCCTGTGCTGTGCCTGTCCACTCGTCCCCTCGCCCGCTCACCTTCCTCCTTCTTCCTCCTCGTGTCGGTGAGGTAGCCGCTCCTGTCCACAGTCGGAGCGAAGATGTCGGGGAACGGAGCGGCGGCGCTCATCGGAGCCTGCAGCAGCTGCACAGCGCTGGGTAGAGAACCGGCGTCGTTCCATTGATCAGCCGCGATTATCAGGACCGGGCGCACAGGGTGGCGAGACGTTAACTACCTCGCCTGGTATACACAGGAAGGTCGTGGCTTCGATCCCGTAGATTTTTTTTCCCCGGTTCTTCCAGGTTTTTCCCCTCCGCATTGAGAATCAACCTGCGTTTAGAGTATGGGGCCGCTATAAATGTCCACGTAATAAGCAGAGGTCGCAACCGGGTATCCGATACCCGTACCCTACCCGTACCCGGCCGGGTACGGGTAGCCGTTTGCGACCCTGATGCGGCCGGGTACGGGTACGGGTAGGCCGTGAGTCACTGGTGAGTAACCGTTTGTCACTCATTTCGGGTAGGGTACGGGTAGGGAACGGGTACCCGTACCCAGCCGGGTACGGGTACCCATTTGCGACCCTGGTGCGGCCGGGTACGGGTAAGGAATCAAAACCTGTATGCGACCTCTGATCTGCGGCGAAAAAGAGCTCAGTGAGCCTTACTAGAAAAAAAAATTAGTTTAGTTTAGACTCGCCAACTCAGGTGCCGGGGGCAGTGGAGCCGAGGGGGTGGCGGCGTTACCTGGGCGCGTGGGGGTACAGCCCGTGCAGGTACGCGGACATCACATCTTGCCCCGTCGAGCACCTGTACAGCGGCGAGTCCTTCGTGCTCCCTCGCTGCGAGCTGCCGGGAAGAGAAGCGTCGGCGCGATCGGTACGCACGTCGTGCGGCTGCCGGCGCGTACAGACAGGCCCGGCCACGTACGGGCATGCGCAGTTCAACCCAGACGCAGGCAAACTCGGATAAATGAAAAAGCGGACCCATGCACAGCAGCGATCCAGTCACACAGAGCCAAGCATAGGTACATCCATGCACAGCGAGACCTACTGCTAAAGTCAGAAACTCATGGCTAAACCCAGGACCCACGTAGCACACGCGGCACACGTGGCAAACGTGGCACAGCGCAGCACACGCACAGCACACACACAGCACACGCAGCACACGCACAGCACACACAGCACACGCACAGCACACACAGCACACGCACAGCACACGCGCAGAACACACACAGCACACGCAGCACACGCACAGCACACACAGCACACACACAGCACACGCGCAGCACACGCGGCACACGCAGGTTCCGTGCGCCGCTCCTCCTACCCGGCGGTGTGCCGCTCGGCGGGCACCCCACGCAGCACCACGGACTGGCCGAAGCAGCACGGCGCGGGCCCCGAGGCCGAGGCCGCCGGCGGCGCCGTGCCCGGCGTGAGCGAGCGCCAGGGCGGAGCGGCGCCCAGCGCCCGCAGGGCGTCGGGGAGGGTCCCGTCGGCGTGCAGCGGGAACGGCAGCGCCAGCGACGTCATCGCCACCTGCGCACGCCGGCACCGCGCGCTCCCCGTTAGCGGCGGCCTCGAGAGACGCGGATGCCGCGTCGAGTAGCCGTGGCAGGTGCAGGTGCGGGTGCGGGCGGGGACAGGTGTGGTGGGACAGGTGTGGTGGGACAGGTGTGCTGGGAGCGGTGTGGCGATGTTGCGTGGCGGGCCAATTATGGTGAAGCGGTGCGGTGGAGCGGCGTGGAGAGGCGGTGTCGCGAGATGGTGTGGTGGGACGTTGTGGTGAGGCGGTGTGGTGGCTGCGGTGTGGCGACGCGGTTATGGCGAGTTGGTGTGGTGGGCATCTGCTGCCGCGTAGGCCTGCTACGGACGGGTCAAGCGCTGTGGGCCCGGTTAGGGACGGGCAGCGTTGTGGGGGTGGGGGTGCCGTGTGGGGGGGGGAGGGGGATTGGCGGGAGGGGGGGTTGGGGGGAGGGAGGTTGGGGGGCAGGGGAGGTTGGGGGGTGAAGGGGGGTTGGAAGGTGGTTGGGGGGAGGGGGGGTCGGGGGGGTAGGGGGGGTTGGGGTAGGGGGGGTTGGGGGAGGAGTTGGGGGGAGGTGGAGTTGGCGGGAGGGGGGGTTGGGGGGAGGGGGATTGGCGGGAGGGGGGGTTGGGGGGAGAGGGGTTGAGGGGAGGGGGGGTTGGGGGGTGCTCCTCCTGCCTTGCGGCCGCCGCCGCTGAGCGAGTCGGCGAACTCGGAGAGCGACGCGAGGCGAGAGTGCGTGCGGTAGGGCAGGCTGCTCGTGCCCACCGCCGCCGCCAGCACCGCGCTGCTGTGGTAGTGCAGCTCCGCCTGCCGGACAAAGACAAAGGTACCCCCCCCCCCGTTTAGAGCCTTTCACCGTTGGGGAAAGTACCGTGAAAGAGTAGCACCAGTGAAGGCCGGCACGGCGCACGAGATGGTGGCGTGGCCAACGCCACGCCCGGCCGCCTTTGTCTCCCCAGTGCTGGTGTCTACGCACGGCACCAGGCGCTCATTTCGGGCCGCGTCAACTTCGGGAAGGCCCGGGATCGGTTCGGATAATTTGTCACCGACGTCGGCCCGCCCCGTGCGGGGCGGCGCGTTAAACGCCGCCCCACAGCGGAACGACGGCCGCAGGGACCCCGAGGCTCACGTTGTAGTGCAGGTTGGGGAAGACGACGGGCGGCGAAGGCCGACGGCTCAGCACCGAGCTCACGGACAGCGGGAGCAGCACGGAGGCGGTGTCCGCGAGGCGAGCCATGCCCAGCGCGTAGTTCACCAGCCGGTAGACGCTCCTCAGCGGGGTCTGCCCGGCGGGCGCGAGGGGAAAGCGAGAGGGGGGCACAGCGAGGGGGGGGGGGGACCGTGATGTCCGGGATCGATTCACCGAGGTCCCACGCCCTTTAGAACCGCTCTTTGCGTTGAGTTTTGTTGTCCCTCCGCTTAGCGCGGTTGGCTACGTACGGTGCGAAAGAAGTTCCACAAAAGTACATACACTGGGAACCACAGCGCCAGAGGTCGCAAACGGGTTTTGATTCCTTACCCGTACCCGTACCCAGCCGCACCAGGGTCGCAAACGGGTACTCGTACCCGTACCTGGCCGTGCCCATACCCTACCCGTACCCGGCCGGGTACGGGTAGGGTACGGGTATCGGGTACCTGATTGCGACCTCTGGGATGAAGCCATGTTGCAGGCGCGGGTGGGTTGATTCTAGGAACTTGAATTGTGAGAAGAGACAAGACGTTGGGAAATGAGTGACAAACAGTTACTCACCAGTGACTCACGGTCTACCCGTACCCATACCCGGCCGCACCAGGGTCGCAAACAGGTATCCGTACCCGGCCGGGTACGGGTAGCCGGGTATCGGGTAGGGTACGGGTATCGGGTACCCGATTGCGACCTCTGCACAGCGCCCTAACCCCCCCTGGGGCGAAGCCAGCAGTACGACTGTGGATTATCCCAGAATTCTCTATTTCCCCGCCCCGGTGGCGGGGTGAGGGCGCCGCCCCGCTCGCTCACCAGCGCGGGCGGGGCCGGCGGCACGAGCCCCCAGACGAGGACGCTCTTGGAGCCGTACTCGTCGCGCAGGCGCTCGACGGCGCGTGCTCCGAGCCCCGAGAACCCGTCGTGGAGGTCGCACAGCAGCTGGAAGCCCTGCAGCGAGTCGCACTCCTCCGTGAAAAAGTGCAGCCGGTCCTCCAGGTCGTCGGCCACGGGGGGCGAGCGCAGCAGCAGCGAGTCGCCCAGGCCGAACACGTCGAAGCGGTCCACGTCCCTGGAGGGACGGCACGCGGTGGGGGGGGAGGGGGGGGCGAGAGGCCGACAATTCGATCGTCGTTATCATCATCTTCAGCCAAGGTCAATCCACTGCTGGATGAAGGGGTTAGTGACGCTAATATTGGCATAAAACTATCACGTGGTCTAACCCAAACACAGATATGATCATTCAGACAATAAATCTAGATTGAAAACTCATTTCTTTCAAACAGATTTTTTTTGTTTAGTTTGTTTTACTTCCCCCGCACCTCCAATTTAGCACGGATAGAGTCCAATTCTGCTTCCAGTTCAACAAGGTTTAGTGTTCCAGCCATAGAACGGTTTGCGAGCGGCGGAATTGTCTACGAGCCAAGGAACGTGCGCCCATACCCGTCGCTGGTGTGGTCATTGATGAGCGAGACAGAGCGCGGGTGGAGACGCAGTCGCAGGAAGTCGGACCAGACCTCGACGCTCTCCTCCAGGTGGTACACCTTCTGCGTGGGCGGCTCTGCGCTAACCGCCGGGGCATCTGGGAAACGGAGGAACAGCCGCCGCCGCCGTCAAGGACGAGTTAGACGCTAATGCACGTGCTTGCGCACGTATTGCACGAATACGTAAGGTGACAACGGAATGTACATAGGCATTTTAAGAAATGTAAAATCCCGCCAAAAGCATCTTTGATTCGCATTTGCCGTTCCGTCGTGCTGTGGACATTACATTTATTTTTATTGCGACAAAACGCGAGCACGCTACAATACTCAGATCAACATTGGCGGTAGAGGGGGGGGGGATCAGAAACTCTGAATAAGTTCAAATTCGGCGCGACGGGAGGGGGTGGGGGAGTTGGACTCAACCGAGTGGGTACTATGCGTAAGGTGGGGGGGGGTGAAGATTTACGGGGGGGAGGGGAATGGTTTCCAGGAGCTCGTGGGTTCGACCCCGACCCCGGCACCTGTAAATGTGGAGTTTGCGTGTTCTCCCCATGGTCGGGTGGATCTTTCTCCGGGTCCTCCGGTTTTTCCCTCCACATTTAGAATCAACATCATCACGCGTCTAGAGTATATCGGCTGCTGCTGTAAATTTCCACACAATAGGCCACTTCGTTTGTGGCCAGGTCGCTTCTGAAAAAAAATCTACGTAGCTCATTGGGCCTTACCTGGTAAAATAAAAATAAGTTACAGATTTAAAATAGTTTAGTTTGGAGGTCGGGGGGGATATTAAATTAATTTCAAGATCCTATACTGCATAGGCGGTAACAAATATTCAGACGGACATCACGCACATGCGTCCTACCGCAGACGGACACACTATCTGTGTCACGCACGTAGACGTGTATCACCACACTGGGAGAGTACGTGCGCATCACGCAAAAAGAGAGAGAGAGACAGGGTGTCACGTACTTTTAGTCTCCGGTTTCGGCGCCGGACAGCGGCTCGTTCTCGTCCGCTTCTCCCACTCCTCCTGCGTCGCACAGCGAGCACAGAGTTTGGTTTTGTTGTTTCATTTCATTCTTTTTGCATCCCAAGTTCTTAGAGTAACGTCGCTCGATTCTAGAAACACGTGAACCCAGTCCAATCGCGGCTGCGACGGCGCCGGTTGCTGCTGGTCGCTTGGAAGTTTTGGGGCCTTTGGGGCTGCGCTCAGCTCAGTAACCGTAAAGTAAAAAAAATAAAGTGAAAAAAAATAAAAAAGCTAAAGCATGCCGTGCCAGTGGTGACGCTGATTGGCGGCGGCCAGACTGATCTAGGCACTCGCCTCGGTTGGCTACGTACGGTGCGAAAGAAGTTCACCAGACATGCATACACGTGGATTTTTATAACGATTCGCGCCGCTTAGATTTTTCTCCGGGTCTTCCGTTTTTTTCCCTCCACATTTATAATCGACGTGCGTTTACAGAGCATTTCCACACCACGATAAGCCGCTTTTGTTGGGCGATCGCTTGTGGGCAGGTCGCATAGCTCAGTGGGCCTTGCCTGGTAAAATATAAAATAGTTGAGTACCTCGATGACATCAAGGTCCTGCAGGAACGCGTTCTTGCTTGCGGGATCCGTCCGGTGCACCGAGACCTTGCCGCTCCTGCACGCGACGCACGGCAGAGTCGTCAGTCCGAGCGAGACGGCCTGAGGACGGTTAAAACTTCACTCCCGGAAGGTGACTTCGTAGAGCTACTTCTGAGGTGACTTCGTCGCGAACTGTGTCCACGGCGCGCGACGCGTGTTTTCTACGCCGTGCTAAGCGCATCCGTCGCACGTCCATCAAACTGAAACGTTTACATTTTTCAGAGCAGGAATTTTGCCAAATTTAATTAAAAAACAAAACGAACTTCACGCGTTTAGCCATCGATCGGTGACCGGGCCGAGACCATAAACTCGCTGCGAGCGGGAACGTGGTTTAGTCAGGGGGCGACTGAAACCCAGATTCGAACACGCTGCTTCCGTGTGCCACGAGGGTTAGTTCCGTGCGTGAACGATAACAAACGCGACCGAGAGCGTCGCCGCTCATTCATTCGCTACTCTTAGGTTTTTTTTGGTAAAGTCACGAAGGTAAAAAAAGAACAAGAAATAAATAATATTATAGAAATAAAATAATAAATCACGACGTTTCGGAGGCAACACAAGTCTCCGTCTTCAGGTGGGACCGTCACAGCTAAATTTACTGTATCATTCATTCGCTCTCCGTTGTCAGCAAACGCGGCGAGGCGCGGGGGAAAGCGCGCGCTCGCAAGTGCACCGAGAGAGACAGCGAGACGACCCTCACGGATCGAAGACCAAGCAACGTTAGAGGGGGTCACGCTGGCCGTCAAGGAGAGCGAGTGGGCCGGTGGTCGAGACTAAATGACGGCAGCCAAAGGAGGGAAGGTGCCCGCTCAATCAATCAAACTTTCTTTAACCCCTTCCCATTCCGATGACGTCCGTGTACGTCATCAGTTTTTTTCTTTTGTACAAAATATTGCACACTGGAGAAATGGGTCCATATGTTATGTATATGTACACTACTTAATCGAAAAAATACCTCAAATAAAATAACTTTATCGGTACATCTTCAGGTTGGAAGATCTACCGAGGCTCCCACAAGGCCATGCGGGAGGGCGCATGGCACAGTTTGGCGCCAGCTATGGGTTCGCTCCCGAACCCGACACCTGTATATTTAGGGTTTTTGCGTGTCTCTCTCTCTGCGGTCACGTGGATTTTTCTCCGGGTCCCCCGGGTTGTTGACTTCACATTTAGAATCAACATCGCACGTTTAAAGTATTTGGCTGCTAGATTTGAAGCTTTCGTGACTGCAAGGATTCATACTCTTAGGTTTTTTCGGTAAAGTCACGTAGGTCAAAATAAATAATAAAAATAATAGAAATAAAAATTAGAAGCTCACTGGTTACAGAAAATATAGCTGTGACGGTCCCACCTGATGACGGAGACTTGTGTTGCCTCCGAAACGTCGTGATTTATTTTTTTTATTTCTATTATTATTTATTTTATTTGTATTATTTATTTTTACCTACGTGACTTTACCGAAAAAAACCTAAGAGTATTCGGCTGCTATAAATTTCCACGCGATAAGCGACTTCGTTGACCTATCATTTGCGGCCAGGATGCTTCTCAAAAAGAGCTGATATAGCTCAGTGGGCCTTCTAACCTGGCAAAATAAAAAATAAACGTTTCGGTCGAAGTTTAGGTGGCCTCCAAACACAGAATGCTGCTCTCACCACGTGGAGGTGTCTTGCTCTGGGTGCTCGTACAGCACGCCCTGTTGCCTCAAGGAGCTTAAGTTGCCTAGACAACAACAACAACACATACACAACATTTAATGATGTAATAAATTATAATTAATTATCAAAGTCTCAATACATTTTTATTTAAAGCTTTCGTGACTGCAGGGATTCATATTCTTGGTTCTTTCGGTAAAGGCACGTAGAAGGGAAATAATAAAATAATATAAATTTCAAACAATAAAAATTCTCACGACGTTTCGACTGCAACACAAGCAATCATCATCAGATGTGAAATCCACAGCAAGAAAATAAAAAAAATAAAAATTTCTTGCTGTGGATTTCTCACCTGATGATGATTGCTTGTGTTGCAGTCGAAACGTCGTGAGAATTTTTTGCTTCATATTTATATTATTTTAGTATTTCCCTTCTACGTGACTTTACAGAAAGAACCAAAAATAAAAAGTCTCAATAAGTCTGGTGGTGGTGGCGATTACCGGACACTTGTGGAAAAGAGCATTAAAGCTCATCGGATTCCTCCTCCAGTATAATTAAATACTTCTATTGATTCACACAATAGCCACTTTGTTGAGCTATCAATTGTGGCCAGGTCGCTTCTGAAAGAGAAGGTAATAGCTCAGTGGGCTTTACCTGGTAAGATAAAAACATTTTTAGTTATTTTAGCGATTTTCTTACCTTTCCTATACTTTTTACTCCTACCATGATTTTATATTGTTTGTCGCTGTAACCTCCTGACCCCGTGCCACGAACGGACATATGTGAAAAAAGAGCTTTGCAGCTCATCGGATTCCTCCAGCGTAAATAAATAAGTCTGATTAATGAGATAGTCACCGGCAATCTCATTCACTCCGGCGCAGTGTCGAGCTCAACATGTGAATTCAACCCCTGGAACCTCATTTGCCAGTAAAAAATATGATAATTGTTTTTTTACCCTTCTATCTGGCAAAAAAATAAAGGACAGTGCACATTATCATAGTTATGTTTTTTGTTTGCATTATGACTGCAGGTATCGTGGTCTATGCAAACATGACTTCTTGTAAAAAAGATGTCAGTTTTGTTGCCGGATAGAATGGTAAAAAAACAATTATCATGTTAATTCACCCTCAACACGTTTTAGAGAACGCGTTACCTTACAAAAATATTGCGTTTGCCGCCTTTCATGGCAGAATGCTTGAAGAGGAAGCACATTGAATAGACGCGAGCAGCGTTGAATAACGACCTCGCGAACTGAAGCCAGTAACAACACGCCGTTCGCGATGAATAACATTAATCATCATCACGCGCGCTTTATTTATCCACGCAGCTCTCGCCGAGTCTCAACGCTCTTCGGCAGGAAGGCTCCTGCATTGGGATATTCGGCCAAATCGAGTCTTCACGGATGAGAGTTTGGCTTTTTTGGGGGCAACTGGAGAAAACTCACTCCACACAAACGGAGGGGGGGGGGAGAAGGGGGGGAAACGCTTGGACCTCTGGGCTATCACGCAGCCTCGGCCTACGATGCGTGGTCCTAGCACGCAGTCTCCCCAGCAAGCACTCACCAGGATTAAGCCTGTTTTTGAGATCCTATAAGAACTTTCTGGAAGGTGACATCATCCCCCGGTTCCCCCCTCCCGAGGCCTCGGGGAATGTGTCCCAGGATCTGTTTGCTCGAGTTTATCGTTGGCCCCTTTTTGGGCCATGGACATGAGCCCTGGCGTGATGGCGCTTACACCCCCTATTGACAATAAGGGGAAGCTACCAGCCCACAGAGTGGCGAGTGACGATTACCCCTACACTTTCAAACAACCCCCGTGACCCACATGGCGTTGGGGAGGCATTCATCCAGCAGTGGACTGACAAAAGTGACACGCGGCTGTCAGTGTGACAGCTGCTCCTTGTGCCGGCGGCCTGGCTGTTTCTGCCCGCCGGCTCTCTCTCTCTGCATCTCCGTCTCTCCTTCCGTGTCTCTCTCTCCAGTCTCTCTCTCCGTCCCTCTCTTTCTCCGTCTGTCCGTCTCTCTCTCGTCTTTCTCTCTCCATGTCTCTCTCTCTCTCTGTTTACATTTCTCTCCCTCTCGTCGGAACGAGCGAGCAACCGAGCGAGTGGCGCTACCTTTGAGGTCCATGAGGACGAGCCGGGGCGTGTAGGTCGGCTCGCCCTGGAGCGTGACGCCCTCCCGGAACAGAACATCCGAGTTCACCTCCTGGGCGGCAATCGACAGCCGAGGGTCGGAGTTGAACGCGGCCGACTGGAGGAAGAGAGGCCTTGCGTTAGTAAGAGAGGCCTTGCGTTAGGAAGAGAGGCCTTGTGTTAGGAAGAGAGGCCTTGCGTTAGGAAGAGAGGCCTTGCGTTAGCGGCGCACGACAGGGAACGGCCCCTGACTGGGTGACACTCGGCAGAAGCAAACTCCCAACGGTGGCTAGGAGATGTGAACTCCCTAGCCCGGTGTGCAGGAGGTCGTGGATTCGATCCCAACCCTGATGCCTGCTGTATATTTGGAGATTGCGGTGTCTCTCTCCTTGTGGTCACGTGGATTTTTTTACGGCTCCTCCGGTTTTTCCCTCCACATTTAAAAACGTGCATTTAAAGTATTTGGCTGTTATAAATTTCCACGTGACAAGCCACTTCGCTGAGCTATCAATTGTGGATAGGGCGCCTCTTAAAAAGAGATGTATAGCGCAGTGGGCCTTACCTGGTAAAATACAAAATAGTTTAATAGACATTCTGAAGTTCAACTCTCTTTCCTCAGCAACCTCTTTCAATCCCTCACCTCCAAACTTCAGGTGATCCACAATGCCGCTGCCACAATCCTCGCCCACACACAACCTCCCTCCCGTACGAGGGAACACCTCACTCTGACACTCTCCTACCTCTCCCCTCTCATCTCACACTACTCTCCTCCACGTACTCTCCTACCTCTCCCCTCTCATCTCACTCTACTCCCCTCCACGCACTCTCCTACCTCTCCCCTCTCATCTCACTCTACTCCCCTCCACGCACTCTCCTACCTCTCATCTCACTCTACTCCCCTCCACGCACTCTCCTACCTCTCATCTCACTCTACTCCCCTCCACGCACTCTCCTATCTCTCCCCCCATCATCTCACTCTACTCCCCTCCACGCACTCTCCTACTTATCCCCTCTCATCTCACTCTACTCCCATCCACGCACTCTCCTAGATGGAGACTAGGCTCTAAAGAAAGCTGTCTTGGGTGTGGACCAATCAACTTCAAGGACAGTGCATATCATTACCATTATCAGAGTTAATTCTAGATTTGAAGCTTTCGTGACTGCAAGGATTCATATTCTTAGGTTTTTTTTCGGTAAAGTCACGTAGGTAAAACATCAAAATTAATAAAAAATAAAATAAAGATCACGACGTTTCGGAGGCAACACAAGTCTCCGTCATCAGGTGGGAGGGGAGTAGAGTGAAAAAAAACCTAAGAATATAATTATCAGAGTTGTTAATTTTTTCTAGATTTGAAGCTTGTCTATTTTTGTTTGCATTTTGACTGCTTGTGTTGCGGTTATTGCAAACATGATGCCTTGTATAAAGGTGTCAGTTTTGTACCAGTTTAAAGGGTAAAAACCTACTACTATATTTTGCCACTGGTAAAGGAGGTCTAATAGTGTAAACATGTTTTACTGTTTGGCCGTGTCGGGTGGTGGAGGGTTACGACACATTTATAAATAACGCGATATGACCCAAAAACTATATTATGAATGGAGGGATTGTTGTGTTGAGTTCAACGCTGTTGCTGCTGCTCAGTTTGAAACGTGGCAGGCTTTCGCGACCCAATATCATCCTTAATAGTTTTTTTGGGGGGTTAGATCGCGTAAATATATAAATGTGTCGTTAAAACCCACCACAGGCAATGACACATTTATGTATTTACGCGATCTAACCCCCCCAAGAAGCCACCTTTATTGTGATGATGCTGCTGCTACTGCTGCTGCTGTCACCAATGACGAGTCAACAACAGTAACTGCAGCGAGGCAGGGGAGCGGTGGTGCTGCGGTTAGGACTGCTGCGTCACGCACCCAGACACCGTGCGATAGCGGGCCCACGGCTAAAATCAGTGTGTGTGTATGTATATATTATATATACACACATTATATATACATCAGTGTGTGTATACGTACACACACTGATTATACACACATCAGTGTGTGTATACGTACACATACGGCTAAAATCAGTGTCTATGTATGATATATACATACACACTGATTATATACACATCAGTGTGCGTGTATACGTACACACACGCCTAAAATCATTGTGTGTATATATACATACACACACACACTGATGTTAGCCGTGTGTATTTATACACACACACTGAATGTGGAACTTCTTTCGCACCGTGCTTTGCCAACCGCGCTGGGCTGCATCTGGCTGCATCCAGCAGTGGATAGACACAATGTCTCGTAGTGGGTGGTGGTGGTCACGATGCCTCGCGGTGCAAAATACCTGGCCATTCCACCAGTGCGCGCCCACAAAGCCTGCGTAGTGGCCCAACTGCAGGGTGACCACCTCCCCGCGTGAGCTCGCCATGACCAGAGGCCGCTGCTGCTGTTGTTGCTGCTGCTGTTGTTGTTGCTGTTGTTGTTGCTGTTGTTGCTGTTGTTGTTGCTGCTGTTGTTGTCGCTGTTGCCGCTGCTGCTGCTGTTGTTGCTGCTGCTGTTGTTGTTGTCGCTGCTGCTGTTGTTGTTGCTGCTGTTGCCGCTGCTGTTGTTGTTGCTGCTGTTGTTGCTGCTGTTGTTGTTGCTACTGTTGTTGTTGCTGCTGTTGTTGTTGCTGTTGTTGTTGTTGATGTTGCCCACTCCTGGTTGAGCCGCTACTGGCAACGAGGAAGCGGCAACAGCGGCGAGTGCGCGTGCCCACGTGCTCCGCTGCGCGCTGCCATTGGCGCCGAAGCACCCTACGGTGGCTCTGCGAGTCAAGCCACGCGAGTCGTATTTTTAAAACGCGAAACACGTGCGTGTTTGTGTCTTTGTGTGTGGGGAGCGGTGGTGCAGCGGTTAGCGCGCTGTGATTCCAGCTCAAGGCCAACACCAGTGGCGATTATCTGAACCGGTCCTGGGCCTCCCGTAGGGGGCCGTCCATAAATGACGTCACGCGATTTTGGACGATTTTTGAACCCCCCCCCCCTCGTCACACGGCGTCACAAAAAATTCAGACCCCCCCCATCAAATATGACGTCACAAAGCTCTGCCCCCTCCTCCCCCCCCAAATAAAGCATGCTTCAAATCGCTAAAAACTATTGTCATTGTAGTGCGTATTTAATGTGGCGCTGCACTCTGATGTTGTAAGAGAAAACATTTCTTAAAAAGTCTATTGAATTAAGTAGAACGTGTTGTCTACATTTATTAAAAGTTGCGCATTTTGATGTGACGCCACATTTCTCCACCCCCCCCCTCGTCACACATCGTCACAAATGTCTGACCCCCCCCGAGGTGCGTGACGTCATTTATGGACGGCCACTTATGGATGCATTAATCTCGCTGCACTGCCATCTGCTGGTTGCCACGTAAACTGAGACAGGCAGCCAGGTGGAGACGACGAGATGACACAATCAGTCTTATATTTTTTCCTGGAAAAATCCGATGAGCTATGAAGCTCTTTTTGACAGATGCCCAGTTTCAGTTTGGGGACTGCTCAGTGAGCTTAGGGGAGGGGGAGAGGTCGCTAGAAACTTAAACTAAACGTTTTTTTTAGATTTAAAGCTTTTGTGACTGCAGGGATTAATCTTCTTGGTTCTTTCGGTAAAGTCACGTAGAATGGAAATAATAAAATAATAAAAATAAAACATAATAAAATAATTATCACGACGTTTCGGCCACAACGCAAGCAGCCGTCATCAGGTGAAGAACAGGTCTGTTGAGAAGACAGAGTCTGGTGAAGAACAGGTCTGTCTTTTCGACAGACCTGTTCTTCACCCGAGGACGGCTGCTTGCGCTGTTAGCCGAAACGTCGTGAGAATTATTTTATTATGTTTTATTTTTATTATTTTATTATTTCCATTCTACGTGACTTTACCGAAAGAACCAAGAAGATAAACTACGTTTTATTTTACCATGTTACGGCCCACTGAACTTTATATACCTTTTTCAGAAGCGACCTGGCCATAAATGATAGCTGAACGAAGCAAGCTTTATCGTGTGCAAATAAATAGCAGGCAAACACTCGAAAAGGGTGATGTTCATTTTAAATGTGGAGAGGGGAAAAATGTAACCCGTAAAAACAAAGTTTTTCACTCTAAATCCTTTATATGCGTGGCAGCTAGAGTCCTCTCGTCCTCTGGCTTGAGATGGCTGCCACCTATGGGTCAGATGATTGTCTGCCAGCATTAAGCAATTGGTAATTAAATATTTTAAAAAAATTCCCTAAACAGTGTAAAATTTTGGACATTTTTTTTCACGAAAATTAATTGTCACGCACAACGAGTCTGTGTGGATAATGTCAGCTCGATTGGATCACGGGAAGTGGGTTAAAAAACGACCGCAAGATTTGCACGGTCGTAAGCAAGCAAGCAAGTGAACTTAATATAAAGGATTTAAAAAAACCGGTGGACCCGGAGAAAAATCCACGCGACCACGAAGTGAGATGTCGTACTGCGCCGTTGCTGAAACGAAGGCTGCTTGCACGGACGGGAGTGGAATGAGATGAGAGGTTGGAAAGGGGTAATGCGCATGATGGGACTGGGCGCCACGCTGGGGAGATGTTAACTACTTCGCCTGGCGTACAGGAGGTCGGTGGTTCGATCTCTGACCCTGACGCAATATTTGGGATTCTAGATCTGAAGCGTTCGTGACTGCAAGGATTCGTATTCTTAGGTTTTTTTCGGTAAAGTCACGTAGGTAAAACATTACAATTAATGTGTTGCCTCCGAAACGTCGTGATTTTTTAAATTTTACTTTTATTAATTTAAATTTTTTACCTACGTGACTTCACCGAAAAAACCTAAGAATTTCAATATTTGGAGTTTGTGGTGACGCTCTCGCCGTGGTCGCGTGGATTTTTCTCCGGGTCCTCCGGTTTTTCCCCTCCACGTTTAGAAACATGCGTTTGGATTATTTTGGCTACTGTAAGTTTCCACATAAGCCACTTCGTTGAGCTATTTGTAACCAGGTCGCTTTGGTAAGATAGCTGTCTATGTACGTGGTCAAATAAAACGTTTAAAGGTACCGGGAAGGGTGGCTGGGCTCACTCCGCTACTCACGTAGGTGCAATGGTTAGGAACGTGGCATTTTTAGGGGAAGTTATTTATTGTTTTGAACTCGGAGTCAACTCTCGATTACCGGGGTTAATGCGGGGAAGGAGGGTTCCTCCGCCGACACAAAAGTATAGACGATTGCCAACGATGTGTAAATGAGGTTGTGCTTTCCCACCTGATGACGGACGCTTGTGTTGCGCCCGAAACGTCGTGATTTAATTTAGTTTCGATTTAAAGCTTTCGTGACTGCAGGGATTCATCTTCTTGGTTCCTTCGGTAAAGTCACGTAGAAGGGAAATAATAAAATAATAAAATTTAAAATACGTGACTTTACCGAAAGAACCAAGAAGATTAATTTAGTTGTTTTCATTTACTTTATTTTTTACCTACGTGACTTTACCGAAAAAACCAAAGTGTGTGATAAACGTGTTTATTGCTCCCCGATGAATAATTTGCATCATTTGCCGAGTGCCGTTTTAAAAATGATCTTGGATTAGATTTGGAGCCAGTGGAACGATTGTAGGATCGGGGTGAGGTCACATTTATGGGTGCGGGGCAATTCAAGCGGCAGCATTATGGATGAGCTGATGATGTGTGGTGATGAGAGTGTTACAGAAGGTTTGTCACCAGTCGGGCAGAGTTCTTTGACATAAAGCGGTGGGGGCTGCTCACTATGAGAGTTCTGAATGGAAATAATAACCATTGCTACAGTCTACATTATAGACTGCCAGTACACTCACCAAACTTAATAACCAGGCTACAGTCTACATTATAGACTGCCAGTACACTCACCAAACTTAATAACCAGGCTACAGTCTACATTATAGACTGCCAGTACACTCACCAAACTTAATAACCAGGCTACAGTCTACATTATAGACTGCCAGTACACTCACCAAACTTAATAACCAGGCTACAGTCTACATTAGAGACTGCCAGTACACTCACCAAACTTAATAACCAGGCTAGTCTACATTATAGACTGCCAGTACACTCACCAAACTTAATAACCAGGCTACAGTCTACATTATAGACTGCCAGTACACTCACCAAACTTAATAACCAGGCTACAGTCTACATTATAGACTGCCAGTACACTCACCAAACTTAATAACCAGGCTACAGTCGACATTATAGACTGCCAGTACATTCACCAAACTTAATAACCAGGCTACAGTCTACATTATAGACTGCCAGTACACTCACCCAGCTTAATAACCAGGCTACAGTCCACATTATAGACTGCCAGTACATTCACCAAACTTAATAACCAGGCTACAGTCTACATTATAGACTATTCTGTTATTCTTTTATTTCTTATAATTTGTATTATAATTTTTCTATCTACGTGACTTTACCGAAAAAAACAAAGAATGTGGAAATAATGTTTTATGAATGCAGTTTAAATGTGTAAAAAAACATCAACAACGACATAACACCACTACAAGGGGAAGCCACATTCAATTCACGTATTAATTTTATTTGCATATGCATCATCGGTGCGCCCACGCACTGGATATGCCGAAAAGTTTACAAATGTTACTACGCGTGCAAAACAAAACCGCCCCGGGCAACAGTGAACATTCCAAATCTTTAATAAAGTATCGAGCAGGACCCGAGTGTTCACCAACTTGCACCCACGCCAACCAGAGTGGGCAGCAGCAACAGCAGCAAATGGTCATTCTGTGCGCCTGGCTTCCATAATCCCCTCCAGTAATAATATTAAAAACCAGTCGCACACATTTTGAGTCCATAGGAGCATTATTAAACTCACGCTCCCATCACCTGACACAAACCACCATCATCATCATCGGAGGGGCAAGCTCGACAAGATCGAATATTTGCACTACAATAAATTTAAAACATCAGTTCGATTCTCAGTCGAGGGGAGCGAACTGCATCCGCCCCCCCCCCTCGCCACGAATTGACAACAGAGAAACTGTGCCACATGACAGAGACGCGATGTCTGCTGCGGGGACAGATGCCTCGTCGGTTTACAAAAGGGGCTTCGCTGGCCGTAGATGTCCCAGTTCAAATGGGCAAAAAACGGCAACGGGCAGCCGATATTTGTGGCATTGTAGTGTCTTCAAGATGCCATAAAAAAAACCACGAAGCTTTTTTATGATGTGTCCCTAGGCTCCGTCCCAGGCTGTTGGATAGAGTTTAAAGCTTCGTCAATGAGGGGAAAAAATACTTGAAAGTTGTAGTCAAGCACATCACCAACGCCCTGTGGACCGATATTAGTGCGCTGATTAAGATTGTATGGGAGGCATGAGATGACTGCCATCATGGTGTGCAAATGAATACATTTCAAAAATATTCCCAAAAAAAATATCGCTTCAATCTTTGGGGTACATTGACCAACTGTTGATATCACTTCCCATGTGTTTTTGCTTCTTATTCATACAACTTCAAACTCGTATCATAGACAAACATCTCCCAAGTGGCCCACAAAGACTGTTGGGTCAAGTGATGTTAGCGAGCACCTATGAAGACACACCACCTCCAAAACACCAGCGCTGATAGAAATACAGAGCCAGGTACTAATTTAAAGCCTAGTAAACTTTGGGGAGGCCCAGGACAGATTCAGGTATCGTCCGCCACTAAGGTCAACCGTGGCTGGGAATTGAACCCAGGTAGCATGGTTCGCAGCGCGCCAACCGCTACACTGCCGCTCCCTACGACTGCTATCAGGAAAACGCGGGCCATGCAGCCGAGGTGTCTTACCAGCAGCCACTGTCTCTACGGCTCGCGGGTCCAAGGTTACGTGCATTTCAAATCTGTGGGTGCCACTTTGTGGATGGCGAGGTTCTCTCGGAGAGCAGTTTCGACAGATACCAGATTATTTGAGGTGCTTAAGGCATTCTCTAGAGGTCAAACTATAACGTGGGACAACCCCCTTTAGAATTTCACATCCCTCCAACAACACAGCAGTGAGGAGCTGGCAGTGGTGCAATGGGGTGCGTCAACCCTTCAGCTACGATGCAAATTCTAATAAAAAAAACTAAATACAGTGGTTAAGTTTTGGACTACAAATGGGCAATTCACCTTCAGTATACAATAAAATACACTTTGGACTTATACAGCATCATAATACAATCGTACCTCACTCAAGGATTCTGTACACAACAGATCAATAGTTTTGTTTCTAAGCGGATTCGATAATAAAACGCATCGATATGGAACACGTCGGAACGAAGCGGTCAACATTGCTTGGTTTGCTAATGCTCTCAAAGAGGAAATTATTCTCATCGATACAAACGTTACAAGTGCTCTGTGATGCGTCGGCAAGAAGAGCCCACAAACCATTATTGCAGCGAGTTAGGGTACATTTCAAATATTGTAAACATCTAATATCATCCAAAACAGCTTGAAATTTAAGTGACCAGAGACAAAAAAAAAACCCCAAAAAAGGCTCTGAAATATACATTCGTACGTTTAAAGCGAAACAGTGGGGGAGGAACTGTAATCTATATTAAAAACATGGGTTTATTTTTTTGTTATCACGACAGTGTAATGCGGCTTGTTTATAAAACAGCGAAAATTATAAAGTGAACAGCACGGGGCTCATTTAACAGCAAATCATGGAATGTTCAACTACAGCTGTGTGGGGGGGGGGGGGGGGGAGCCAATGTGTTCTTTTCAAGAGTATGACGAACTCGTCTTCCGATCCAGCTATATTTACCTTAACGGCAACAACAACAACAACAACATCGACCCGACGCACTTCTCTCGAATCGGTAACAGACCCACGTCAAGTTTCTTCAACTTCCAGTTGACGAAAAGCAAAGCGGATGCGTCGATATTATTACGAGGTTTGGGGCGACAATGAAAAGACAACCCCAAGAGAAAGAAAAAAAAAAGACCCGATGCGAGCGTCATATCACAACACGCAGAGAGCGGATGAGCGCCCGCGACTCGCTCAATTGCTAAACAAAAGATGCACCGTTAGTCGTATTTGGCGAGAAACAGGCAGCCGATGACCGCGGCTCAGCTCCAGTCCAAATCGATGAAGCCTAAGGCGAACGAGCTCATGACACGTAGTTTTGTTTCTGAAAATGCTTATAAACGCTTTTCGTTCACGACACCGGCTGGACTGCGAGCAGTCGGGGTGGAACCATTCGCGGGGGTTGATATCGGTTTTCAAGATGCGCGATGAATCGCCGAGACTCGGTGTTCTCCGATGTGCGTACGTTGCAATGGCTTCACGTGTTCCCCTCCACCCCCAACTCAGGCTGCTACATTCACCACAATGTTTGTTTAAAAAAAAGATTAATTTTCTTTCTATCCGATTGTGACCATGAATCGCGAGTGGGTTGAGAATTACCAGACCAGCTCGCGAGCAGCATGACACGTCTGTGCTTGCCTTCCCCCTAGCTGTTCACGGTGCCCTGTGGCGAGTCCACAGGGTTACGTCCGATATCAAGTTCACAATGGCCAAGACGTTCAAGCTCTTCGTGAGATCAACAGCAGTGGCAAGCGGCGGCAACAGTCCTGGCCAGGGCTGGATCCTACACCCCATGTGTGCCATCCATCAGCACCTGACTAATAACCAGGGAAAGAGAGGTCTACCCCCCCCCCTCCCCCATGATAGAAGTCCTGGCTTAGAGCCCAGGATGGGTCGAAGGCAGGGACGGTCATCGCAAGGTGAGCGGGGTGGGAAAGCACACGCGAGGTGTCGCCTCGCGTACGACAACTCGCGTGCATCCGATCGAGCGTTCCTTCACATCACCCCAACTCCGCCCCCAACCCAAATTCTCTGAAGCAGGAGGTGTTCACGGACGGTTGGGCAAGTGACGAGCTTGTCGTGCGGAGCGACCGGGCTCTGTAGCGAGTGCCGGGGGGGTTCGGGGTTAGGGTACACCGTTTCACGCAAATCGCCGCCCCTGTGGAACGTACCGCAAAGAGAAATGGGGACCGACGGCAACGCGGACACGCTCGCCGGAACGACGCTCACCACACCTCCAGTGTAATGTGTGCATAATGCCGTAGATACATTCTCTAAGAGTACCGTTCACGATAAAACTAATTAGCACAAGCACCCCAAGCGCCCTCGCCGCCCCCGAACGTCCGACACGCCGACGACTGAAAGCCCTTGGCATGTCCATCACAGTGTGTAACAAGGTACAGCCGTGTTCAACAGGCAGGTGGAGGAGGGTGGGATGTGGGGGGGGGGGTTCTGATGGTCCGCGAATTTCCTTCGTTTGAATAGAGGGCCGCGTGACCTTCATGGGAGTCCCGAGGTCTCGGTGGGGTCTCTTGGTGACCCCCCTACAACTCCACAGGGCCTCCACTTGCTGTCACAAGTGCATGGCGGCCGTGTGCGACCGCCAACAGATATGCAGTGAAGGGAGATTTACAAACACAAATTGAAAGTCGCACAACCGCAACCGCATTCATTATCCTGCCATGGTGCTGGACATGGCGATAACCGAGACGCCGTAAATATTCCCTCACCCCCCCCTCCCGCCCCGACCGAGTCTTTTACAGATCAGCGATCCAGACGAACTTCTTCGAGGGAAGGTCGTTTCCTCAGCGCTCTGTGTGTTTTATTCACCACTAATTCCCGCTGCGAGGTGTCGTCAAGAGGGCTTCCGTCGGAGTCGTTGTTTCATTCCACGCGCAGGTGCCGAGAGCGCAACTCTTCACACGGGCGGCTGTTGATCAGTGCCTGAAAACTCGACCGGAAAAAAATAACTAAACCTCGAAAACAAAATCGCCGAACAGGCGCGTCAGCCGCTCCACTGTCCTGCGCCCGCAGTCTTCTCTTCTATTGCTCAAACAGGTGACGGCAAGAAAACCCGAGTCGAGGTCGTCGGTGATCGATTCTCCGTGGCGGTTGGCACCGTCGAAGTTTCTCCGTCGCCCGGATCGTGGCCAAACCGGCGAGCGGGCGGGGGGGGGGGGCCCCCCCGTCTTGGCTCGGCGTTTCGTGACGCTCGCCGAATGAGACTGAAAATGCGGCGTTTAAAAATGCAACTCTTTCACAGCCAAGAAAACGCTCCTTTTTCCCCACGGTGCGTGCCGTCGGTGCTGTGTTGTCGACGCCGTCTCTGCCGAGCTGCTCACAGGTGCGGCTCCCCGATGGTCCTGCGGCACATGGAGACGCGGGCGCTGGGCGGCCGGTCGCAGTTGTGCGTCAGCTTCACCTGGTGCGGCTCCAGGCGGTCGTACGCGCGCTTGTACTCGCGGTCAAACGCGTCTGGCGGGGCGGAACAGGGCGTGACGGATTGTGTGGGGGGGGGGCAGGGTTGGAGAAATGTGAGCAATGCGAGGATACAGCTGCGACGATTAGTCAATCGTGTCGTGGAATCGACAAAACAAATGGTAATGTACCAATTTTGTTGTGGTTGGTTACTCGGGTCCCTTGAAATATGGTTGCCGACAGATGCCGTGTAAACAGCGGTAAGACTTTTTTTCCAGAATTTTTTTTGTGTTATCCGATAAGTCGGGTGAGGATGTTGGCCCAAGAGCAAGGGGTAACGCAATAAGCTCGGATGTTGGACATGAGCAGTCGGGCCCTCCGAGTGGAATGTCACCATGTGACAATTTGGTGCGCGACAAAGCGTCGATTCATCGATTCAAGTGGATTCTTACACTCGTGGCGCATGCATCGACGAATTGTACACGCGAGGGTCGATTACCTACGAATCGAGTGAATTGTAAGCATGGCGGGGGGACATTCTCCGTGAAAGAAAACCGCAATTCAACGTACTAACTTTACCGACACAGAATTGCTACGATGGCGAAATGTTAACTGCCTCGCCCGGTATGCAGGAGGTTGTGGGTTCGATCCCGACCCTGACGCCTGCTGTATATTTGTGCATTTGCATGTTCTCCCCGTGGTCGTGTCAATTTTTCCCCGGGTCTTCCAATTTTTCCCTCAATATTTAGAATCAACATGCGTTTAAAGGATTTGGCCAGATTGCTTCTGAAAAAAATCTATAATGCTCAGTGGGCCTTACCTGGTAAAATATTAAAAAAATGTTTATAGCCATCTAATTGTAAGTGAAGTGCTCCAACATCAGCTAAAAACAGCAGCTGTTCTGGTATTATAACAGCTGGCTGCTTATGCCACCGTTCGCTGACCGACTGTGCAAAACCGCTCACCAATGTCAACGTTATCTCTGCCCAGTGACACCATGGACAGGAAGAGGATTTCCCGGTAGAGGCTCCTGCAACAAGACAGGGGGAGGAACGTTTGTCGCACTTCCACCACACGTCTTCCAATGATCAGTATGTTCATTGAAGTGCTTCGTATTTTTCCTCGGCGTTATTTTCATCGCGTCGTCGGCATCCTGTCATGAGACTCCGTATCCACCTGGAATTCTCACAGCACGGCAGTGCACCGCCATGCGTATTACAGAAAGTTTTGAGAAACCAGACTTAACAGAACTTACACCATTGGTACCTCATTTGCCAGTAAAAAATATGATAATTGGTTTTTAACCCTTTTATCTGGCAACAAAACTGACACCTTTTTTACGAGGAGTCATGTTTGCATAGACTACTATGCATAGACCACTATGCAAACATGACTCCTCGTAAAAAATGTGTCAGTTTTGTTGCCAGATAAAAGGGTAAAAATCCAATTATTTGCAGAACTTCTTCTGAGATTCATCCGCAAATTCGAAGGTGCACTTTCCAACAGAGACACACAAATCAAAGGGCAGGTGAATAGTTGGGCTCGCGCTTTAGCGGTTCAATAAATGGACACCCGAGCAAATAGTTAGTTGGGCGAGTCGGTGAGCGAGCGAGCGATTGAGCGGCCTGGCAGCTGGATGAGTGGGCAGTTTGGTTAGCGGGAGGACGAGCGAGCAGGTGAGCAAGCGAGCGAGTGAGCGAGCCGGCGATCGCCTACCGGTGGCGATGGCGGCGGTGAGCGGGGTGCTTGGCTTGCATCTCGAGCACGTGCGAGAGCGGGCGGTACAGGTCGTTGTGCTGGATGCTCGTCACGATGCTCTGCAGGGTGCCGCGCGGCAGCTGCTGCTCGTCCGTCACCAGCGCGTGCACCAGCGACGACTGTTCACCTGGGAGGAAACGCAGACACGGACGCTGACCGTCAGAGGTGCGCGTCGCTCAAATCGCACGGAGGAGCCAGCGTGGAACCGTCTTCAGGAGCGAAACAGACCCCAGTGACATCAAGTAACCAAGCAGCATTTGTTTAACAGGCCGTGAACTTTCCAATGTGGCTCAAAGGAGTTAAAACCAAAACAAGTTCGCCTGCTGAAATTAATACTGTTGGAATACATTGGTCTGGATGGCCTATTGGTTTGATGCACTTAAATAGTATTTCGACAATGGAGAAGATTTTACCCATTTTTAATGATTGAATCTGTTATTATCTGTTTACGTGTGCCTTGTTAAACCCAACACAGTCGAATAACGATGATATTTCTAGCATCACTCGACAATAAAGTAAAATAATTCCCCTGTTTTATTACACACACTTAACAGGCCTGTGTTCAACTGCTAAACCAGCAGTCATTTAACACACGCACGGCGCACACACACGGCACACACACACGGCACGTACACACACACGGGGTGCACAGCCTAACGCTTAAGGCAGTCTCCCAAACTCTGGCGTTCGTGACGCACGGATGGGAGAACTGCATTCAGCCTTTAATTGCAGAATAAAACAAAAGAGAAAGAGGAACACGATGCTTAAAACAATGAAACGTGAAGATGTCTACTCAAGAGGAAGCGTGGATGGATACAGTTTCTACCTGCGACTGTGTACACCCTACCTACGATGCGCAGCCAGAAAGCTTAATGAGTAACAAGGCCAAGAACACATCTAGTTGCTTCTACTTGATACGAGCCTTATTTGTAAACCCCACTTTCATATTCGTGTCATTATTAAAAAAGAGACTCCTCATCTCAATGGGCTCTTCATCATCATCGTCATCGTCAGCAATGATCTATCCACTGCTGGATGAAGGCTTCCCGAAACAAATTAAGGTGTTGACTTGATAATATAGAGGGCTCGCCTGTCAATGTAGGAATTGATACATATTTCGAGGGTGTTGCATATTGACATTGGCGGCTATATTTAAATCGAATGTATTCACACTTGTGCTCGTGTTTTGACATCCACTTGTCGCAACTTTCTGACCACCCATCAAATGCAGTTGCGACAGGAGTGGACCGATGATGCTTCGATTCATCAGTTAATCACAATAGTTACAAGCTCATAGTACGCAAAATGGAATTATAAACATATAATAATCGGCGTGTTTTTGAAACCGAGATGTTGCAACGTATATAATGGATTCAAGTCAACCCCGCAGCCACCATTCATGGCAATGGGATTTAAAAAAGTATCGATGAATCGAATTGCATCGCCGGAGGGGAAGAGTCGGTGGGGGGGTGCATAATCCATTCTACCCTCAATGCCGAGTCTAGTAACGGTGACGAGGAGTAAATGGGAGCCAGCGACACAGACAACGTTGACACGGAGTCGCACGAAGAGACACGTGACGACACGGCACAGACGGGGGGGGGGGGGGGGGGAGCCTTTAGCCATCAAAAGGAACTCACGTTCAGACATTAGCGTACAGTTTAGACCTGCAACGACACAGAGGCACCACCCACGTGCACGCACCTCCGATTAGCACGGCTGGCTACGTACGGTGCGAAAGAAGTTCAACATACGTACATGTATACGGCAGAGCCGAGGGGACTCGGTCAACCTCACCCGTCGACGCTTAAGCATGTGCGATGAACAATTATGCGGTGCGTGAGCCATCGAAAGAATCGGATCCAGTGATGCGAGGGTCTCCGGGGCTGTCGTTTCACATTTGGCCATCTCTTCCCCGTTCGAAAGCAAACCACGACGCCGCAAAGCGTGGGTGGTGAAGAAAAAACGAAAGACGACAATGTGGTGGGTGCCACAGGTAGCAGTGTTTCGGAAGCGCTGGAGAAATGGAAGCCAAAATAAAATACGAAGGGCTATGTCTAGGGATACGATTAGGGACAGCGTTAGCCTTGGGTCAGTCATCCTATTGCTGGGAAATGAATGTCCGTACGTGGAATTTGTGACGAGAGACTTGGGATGTTTACACTAAATGTGTGAAGAGACCACGGTAGTGAGCAGTGAAGCTGTTTATTGACGACAGAAGATGAACAAGGTTCGTCGTCTGAGAACGTTACTTTATTCGGTATTTGTCTGTTGAACGGTAGTGTTAACAACGGTGTTAATAACGGTGTTAATAACGGTGTTAATCTTCTTGGTTCTTTCGGTAAAGTCACGTTTTACCGAAAGAACCAAGAAGATGAATCCCTGCAGTCACGAAAGCTTTAAATCGAAACGGTGTTAATATTAATAACGGTGTTAATAACAGTGTTAATAACAGTGTTAATAACGGTGTTAACAACGGTGTTAACAACGGTGTTAACAACGGTGTTAACAACGGTGTTAACGACGGTGTTAACGACGGTGTTAACAACGGTGTTAACGACGGTGTTAACGACGGTGTTAACAACGGTGTTAACGACGGTGTTAACAACGGTGTTAACGACGGTGTTAACGACGGTGTTAACAACGGTGTTAATAACAGTGTTAACAACGGTGTTAACAACGGTGTTAATAACGGTGTTAATAACGGTGTTAATCTTCTTGGTTCTTTCGGTAAAGTCACGTTTTACCGAAAGAACCAAGAAGATGAATCCCTGCAGTCACGAAAGCTTTAAATCGAAACGGTGTTAATATTAATAACGGTGTTAATAACAGTGTTAATAACAGTGTTAATAACGGTGTTAACAACGGTGTTAACAACGGTGTTAACAACGGTGTTAACAACGGTGTTAACGACGGTGTTAACGACGGTGTTAACAACGGTGTTAACGACGGTGTTAACGACGGTGTTAACAACGGTGTTAACGACGGTGTTAACAACGGTGTTAACAACGGTGTTAATAACGGTGTTAACAACGGTGTTAACAACGGTGTTAACAACGGTGTTAATAACGGTGTTAATAACAGTGTTAACAACGGTGTTAACAACGGTGTTAACAACGGTGTTAATAACAGTGTTAACAACGGTGTTAACAACGGTGTTAATGGCGGTGTTAATGTCGGGCGTGATGATGAGCGTCTTGACTTGAACTGTGCCGTGGCATAAAAAAAACGCTCGACAACCAACATCTCCATTTTTTTCAAAACGCATCCCCCGACTTCATCGAAACATCTGACGATTTGACAACCCGCCCTCCATAGACGATCATCTACGGTGTAATGGAGGTAACGATGGTGACGGGGGTCGTCTCGTGCCCGCGGCACTCACTCTGCGCGTTCCAGTGGATGTACATGGGCTGCCCGGGATCCTGGTGCAGCTTCAGGTTGTCCCACAGCATCTGCACCAGCACCAGCTTGCTGTCCTGCGAAAGCAGCTTGCGCGGCACCTACACAGACACAAGCACGCAAACAGGGTGCCCAAAGATAAAGATCCCCCCCGCATAGCCTCAACAGACTGTTGGGACAAGTGCTGTTAGCGAGTAGCACCGATGAAGGCTGGCACGGCACACGAGGGGGTGGGTGGCCAGGACCACGCCCGGCCGCCTTTGTCTCCCCAGTGGTGATGTTTACACATCGCACCAGCTACTCATTTGAGGCCGAGTCGACCTAGGGGAGGCCCATGTCCGATTCATATAATCGTCACTGGTGTTGACTACGAGCGAGAATCGAACTCGGTCACCAAGTTCGTAGCGCAAGGCGCTAAACCGTTACGCCACTGCTCCCCACACCCGGCACAACAACAACAACCGCCATTCGTCACTAAGTGGCCGTGAAGTCACCACGACGCTTGTGCCAGGCCATGTGCACCTTGAGGCTACGTGAAGTGTCGAACGCCCGCTGGCAGGAGATCACGGGGCAGACCCAGGTGCCACGGGTCGACTGACTGAGATGACCGAGATGACTGGCTGATGCACTACCTGTACCCCCTACTGTATCAACTTGCTGTGCTTTAGCCACCCGGCGCTCCGCTCGTTGTTGTGAGCGTCGCTCCTCCACCCTCCGTTGTTGTTGGAGGGCGACTGCCTCCAACTGCCCAGTAGCGTCCTTCACGAGCCTCCTCCACAGAGGCCGATCGTGACACCGCTGGTACCGGTCATCGGCAAGTCCACGCAGCTCCACGTCCTCCTGTACCACATCACTCCATCTCTTCTCTAGCCCGTGCCGCGCCCGTTTTGCCCCCTCGATCCGGCCGAACAAAAGCTGTTTAGGCATGCGGTGGCTGGGCATGTGGGCTACATGACCCAGCCACTCGGCACACACACACACGTACGTACGGCCAGCCAGTCACCTCGCGCGCGTGTACCTGCGTGCCCCGGTTGCAGTGCTCCGACGCGAGCACAAGGCCGGGCAGGCTGCTGGACAGGCCCAGGCGTCGGAAATACCACACGAGGTTCCAGAAGAGGATGGGGTGCTGGTCGACGAAGGGTGGCGAGCTCACCACCTGCTCGCCCTCGTTCTCCAGCAGCGACTCCAGCTCCTTGCGCAGCACCAGCGGGCTCAGGTAGGGCACCGACACGGGCTCGGGGCTGCTGGCGCGACCCTCTAGGCTCAGGCACTCCTGGGAGGCCACACGCGACGACATGCGGGGGGGGGCCATGAGTGCGTGCGTGCTGGCCGCACAATCATCCGTTCGTGCGTGCCTGCTGGCCTGAATTCGGTGCTCTCAAACAGAACTTTCTCCAAGAGCTTGTATGGTGTACGGGTAAAACAGCACCGCAGAGGTAAATTGAGATCGAGACGAAGATCCCTCCCCCCACCCCCCCCCCCCCTATGTCTTAGCAGATTGTTGAGGCAGGTACAGTTAGCGAGTGGCACCTATGAAGGCTGGCACGGCACATGGTGGGGGGGTGGGTGGCCACACCAGACCCGACCGACCGCCTCTGTCGACTTCAGGGAGGCGCAAGACCGGCTTCGGCTACTCGTCACCGCCATCGGCCGTGAGCGGGAATTCGTATGGCGCGCCAACCACTGCGCCTCCACTCTCCACGCATGCAGAACATGCCCCCCGCCGCGCGCACGGCACCACGTTGACGGGGTGGGGGGCCGGCGGACACGGGAGCGGGGGAGAGGGGGGAGCGGGGGGCAGGGGGGTGCGGTACCAGCGAGCCGTTGAGGTTGTTGGGCAGGCTGCCCGTCATGGTGGAGGTGCCGAGCGGCGCCCGCAAGCCGGGCCCCGCAATGTCGGCGAGCGGACTGCGGGCGCTGGCGCTGCGAGGGATGGGGACGCTCAGCGGCACCGACTCCACCCTCCTTGCCGGCGCCTTGCCATGCTCGGGGGCAGGGCTGGTGTACACGCGCGTCAAACGGTGATGGAATGAGTTGAATGCCCTTCATTTAACCAGGCTGGAGTCTTTCGATTTAAAGCTTTCATGACTGCAGGGATTCATCTTCTTGGTTCTTCCGGTAAAGTCACGTAGAAGGGAAGTAATAAAATAATAAAAATAAAACATAATAAAATAATTCTCACGACTTTTCGGCCACAACGCAAGCAGCTGTCCTCAGGTGAAGAACAGGTCTGTCGGGGAGACAGCGTCTGAATGCTGTCTCCCCGACAGCGTCTGAATGCTGTCTCCCCGACAGCGTCTGAATGCTGTCTCCCCGACAGACCTGGTCTTCACCTGAGGACGGCTGCTTGCATTGTGGCCGAAACGTCGTGAGAATTATTATTTTATTGGTTTATTTTATTATTTCCCTTCTACGTGACTTTACCGAAAGAACCAAGAAGACAGGCTGGAGTCGATTGGGGTTCGGTGAATGGCGATCATTATCGCCACCACAAATCATATTAGTCTGTGGGCCTATATAAATATATGGGTGCAATGATAGCTAATGGTCCCAAGTAGGTCTACATGCAGAATATAAACGTTTTTATCAGTTTTATAAAAGTATAAGGCACCTATTCAAGTGCATAATTCTTTACAAGGATATATGTTCTTTATAAGTCTATTTGATCTACGTATACGGGCATCGTGGATCAATCATCATTCATCATCAATGTCAGTCGTTTGTCAATCCCATGCTGGAATAAATCCTTGGTCATTAAAACACTGCGAATTCACAATCCACCACTTTTCCTACTTGCGACCCATCCCCAATCGCTCCATCTCCTATAAGCGACCCGACAACATAAATAACCACCAGCCTTTGTCACCACCTTGAATGTGCGCCAAATATCAACTCCTAATTACAAGGTCAATAGGTCACTGGCTTTCCGACGTTCTACTCACATCGTGAAATGGTAACCCAAATATCCCCGAATGACAAGGTCAATAGGTCACCTGCTGTCCTATGTAGTTTCCCCATGGTAAACGCACGGCATGGAACCTCTCTGGCGGTACGACGACAGTGGGGGTTCACCTGCTGTCCTGCGAGGGCGTCACGGTGAGCGTGATGAGCGGATCGATCGCCGTGGCCACGGCGGCACGGGGGGTAGGCCTCCCGTGCGAGAGTGGCGCCGCGTGGAAGCCTGCCGTGCCGACGCCTTGCACACTCTCGATCGACGATGACGGCTTCAGAAAATTCCTGCGGTGACCATGGGGGGAGGGGGCAACGTGGCATTAACGATGCGTCCCTGGCGCAATCGTGAAAGCGGAAATCGCTACATCCCTACCGATTGTAATCCAGATCCCGTACTAACTGCAGTCGTAAGCTAATTCTGTAGCGGTCTAAGGTCCTCATCCCAGTCTAATTTATCTCACTATTCCATAAGAGTCAGGGTTTAAGTCCCTGCTAAGTTACTGTGCAATTGATGATTCTCTCCCTCTGAAAACTCAGCTCAACACCGGCGGGACCCACAGTTGACTCAGGATTATTATTTGTTGGTTTTTGTATCCGTCTCCCTCGCCGGCACAGAGTGTGTGTGTGTGGCGGCGTTACCTGCCGGGCCCGCGCATGTCCCGGATCTCGATGTTGAGGAAGGGCACGAACGTGGAGCCGCAGAACGGACACGTGGTATTGAGGTTCGAGTCGTCGGCCATCCAACCGGCCATCACCTCCTCGTCGTACACGAGCGACTCGCACGCTCGGCAGCGCGAACAGCTCGAGATGAGGACCTGGGGGGTGGGGGGGGGGGGCGTGCGGAGCGGGGAGAACGAAAGAACCGCGCAGCGCGATGATGGGGCAGTGAAAACAGCAGACGTCACACACACCTTTGGCGAGTCAAGATTTGTGCGGTCTGCATCACGGAGAGCTGTAGGCCTCCGGTTAAAACAATTCCAGTTTTGGAGAAATTGGAAGGCACGTGACGGTTAATCGATGCATCGGGTTTAAAACTTATTTTTACGCTCGCGACAAATAAGCTAAATCTTGGGCTATCAGACCAAGGATGGGATACCCAATGCGAGGCTGACGAGTTCGAAACGACCCGCAGATTATATTTATCCGTCGAGCAATGCGTTTCTAATGAGGGCCTCTTTCAGTGGCAGAAGTGGTCGAGGTGTCTGCGTTCATGTGTGGCCCGCCAAAGGTGGTGAACATCCTGTTATTCCCCTTCATTCACGAAATGGTTCCCCCCTCCCTCCCTCCCCGGCTTCAGGGTAACAAGCGAAAGAGAACAAGCAAGAAAACGCAGATGGCGGTACAAACAAGGCCAAAAAAAAGCCTTCAATTGTATTTGAGTCACGACCCTACATTAAAAAAAAAACTTGTCATTGCCAGAAGGGGCGAGGACTCATGGATACTGGAGTCGCGCACTTTTAAATCTAGAATTAAATCAAAATATTTTAGAACTACTTTTTGTGTTTAATTTGTAGTCCTTCCCCCGCACCTCAGATTAGCGCGGTTGGCTACGTACGGCGAGAAAGATGTTCAACATACACACGCACACACACTGTGACTGAAGTCTGGTCTCATTGCGGCTAGAGGATGGAACCGCTCACCTCCATGGCGAAGTTTTGGAAGATGCTGCTGCTGCTGCTGCTGTTGTTGTAGCGTGCGGAAGGTGATTCGGCTCGCCTCTGTGCTGCACCGCCTGTGCCGGCCACCGGTAAGCTGTCTGTACAAAGACGGTGGCGGTGGAGAGGATGGGGCGATGGCTTACATCAATGATTCTAAAATAAAACTAAACAATTTTTTTATTTAACCAGGTAAAGGCCCACTGAGCTATTTAGCTTTTTTCAAATGTGACCTGGCCACAAATGATTGCACAAACTAAGTGGCTTATCATGCGGAAATATATCCCAGCCAAATACTGTAAATGCACATTTTAAATGTGGAGAGAAAATCGACACGACCACAGGGAGAACATGCAAACGTCCAAATATACAGCAGCAGGTGTCAAGGGTCGGGATCGAACCCACAACCTCCTGCATACCAGGCGAGGCAGTTAACATCTTTGCCACCGTCGCAATTCTGTGTCGGTAAAATTAGTACGTCGAAATGCGTCTTTCTTCCACAGAGAATCTCGCCACCATGGCGCCCCATTGCGTTTGCAGTCTGGCTCGTTAACACGGAGACTCCCCCGTCACGGCGACGTCACCACTTGCCGATGTGGAAGCCGGAGGCAGCGACGGCTCCGGGCATCTCGTCGGGAGAGCCGTGCTCCTCCCCCCCAGTGAGAGTCGTCACCAGGCCAGGGGTCCCCCATGGGCGTGGGGCTGCCGCCATCCCGAAGCCAACGTCCACCCTGCGCTCGTTCTCTGCTGCCCCGTAGTCACCTGGGCTGGCCTCCGAGTGAGGCAGACCCGTCGTCGGATCCTGGACGAGAGGACACGACAAAAAAAAAGCCGCCGGTTTGGCCTCAATTGTCGTGTGTTTATTTATTTAATTTTAATTGTACTAGCATTGTCATGAGACAAAGTGATTTACACGTCGAGTTGTTTATGCTCCTTGACGAGATCAGCAAGGCACTGTGGTACATTTGTGGCAAGCACTGCTGGAGTTTCAAACAGAATCTTTTTAAATCCTTTATATTAAGTTCACTTGCTTGCTTGCGCGCTTACGACCGTGCAAATCTTTCGGTCGTTTTTTAACCCACTTCCCGTGATCCAATCGAGCTGACATTTTGCACACAGACTCGTTGTGCGTGACAATGTATTTTCGTGAAAAAATATTTCAAAAATTTTACACTTTTTAGGAATTTTTTTTTATATTTAATTACCAATTGCTTAATGGTGGCAGGCAATCATCTGACCCATAGGTGGCAGCCATCTCAAGCCAGAGGACGAGAGGACTCTCGCCGCCATGCATATAAAGGATTTATAGTGAAAAACTTTGTTTACATTTTTTCACCTTGCCGTAAGACGACGCGAGCACGATTCAGATACAAAAAAGGGGTAAAAAAACCAACCCCCACCCCGCCGCCGCCGCAACGGCACGCGGTAGGCCTCACCACGCCGTGCTCGCTGTAGCTGGACGCCAGCTTGTTGTACCACTTGCTGGCGACGCCCACCACGCCCGTGGCCGCCAGCTTCACGCTGCTCTTGAGCACGTCCAGACGCGGCCCCGTCAGCAGCTGGGAGCTTGCCCAGCTCTGGCTCACGAGCGCCCGGTCTGTGGACACGCACGGCGACACGCAGCCAGCGCCGTCAGCCAGACCGGTGGCAGCAGCAGCAGCGTGAGCATCACTGTCTGGACTCGCAGGATAATTTGCATTATCAGCAGCACCAACAGCAAAGTTGCCACGAGCAGCCAGAATAAATTTTACTAAACAGTGGCAGCTAGACTAGTGGACAGCACGAGACAAATCAGCATCGCTACCAGCAGAACCAGCAGATGGGAGGTTCACCCAGCTCTGACTATAAGGACACCCGGTCTGGAGAAACATGGACACCTGCTGCCAGCACAGTCAAAGCAGCAGCAGCAGCAGCAGCAGGGGCAGCAGCAGGAGCAGCAGGAGCAGCAGCAGCAATAGACAGAGCAACACAAAACAGCAGCGCTAGAATCACCGGCAGCACCGTTAATCGCTGGCAGCTCATTCAGCTCGAGCTCACGAGAGCAAAGAAGAAGTCTACAGAGAAGCACAGCCACCCATAGCCGGCAACACAGTCAGCCAACCCCGGCATCAGCGCTCGCCGTCGCACCAACATCGCCAGCCGGCGCACACCTGTGTTGGCCTCCGCGTCGGGCTGCGGGTTGGGGAAGGTGAGCGACCGCGGCACGCCACGCTGCGGGGATCGCGACGGGAGACTCAAGCGGCGCTCCAGACGCGTCGCCCTCACGCCGCGCTTCGGCTCCATGCTGGGCGAGCGGCCGACCTCGGCCGTCGACGTCATGTACGTCTCGATCTCCTCCGCGAGGTTGCGCGGGACCGACGGCACGAGCGACTGCACCGAGCCGGAGCTGTCCAGGGACTTCACGTCCTCCGTCTCGGCCACCAGCAGGGACAGCGGGTCGAAGCCCGCCACCACGCTCTTGCGTTCGGCCGGCCGAGTGCTAACCGGTAGCGACGACCCCGGTTTCGCTTCCGGGTCGTCGACGCAGTCGCCGGCGTCGCCGCTGCCGCCACCCTTGGTCAACAACAGCGGAGCGGAGCTGACCCTGGTTTGTGGCTTCTGCGGAGAACGCGCCTGCGGTAGAGGGGGCGGCGGTGGGGATGTCTTCGTGCCCTGTTGTGACTTGGAGGGGCCGACGAGATTCACGGGCTCCGAGTCCAGGTCGTCGAGGCTGAATATGTCAGCAGAGTCAGACTTCTCCAAGTGGGGCCTTGGTTGTTTCTCTGTGGTGAAGTGCTGTGAGCCCAGGTTGTCCGTGCTGGCTGCTAGGGTAGAGGGTGGGGTGGGTGGTGAGTGTAAAAAGACAATCCGGTTAATGAAAAACTGTTCTCAATTATTATTATCAAGTAAAAAATAATAATCAGGTTAAATCTGAGTTTCAGCCACCTGTGCAGGTGAGTTGATTGGCCTCGACCTGGCCAAACATTTTGTATCTCTTCTAACTTTGTTAAGTGCCGCAAAATAAAACAAACTTGGTTTGCTTAATAAGTGATGAAAACTATACAGAGAGCATCTACAGGTGTGACCCTCACGCAGATATCCAACTCTCATCCACCATCTCTCTGGCCCCTCTGTTCACGTGGTATGAATAAGCGCCATCGACACAAAACATCGCCTATTAAAAATCACGCCGAGCGTGACCCCCTACCGGCGTTCGCTTCCACCCCGGCGCCTCCGCCGTCGACCCGGCCTTCGGCTCGCATCGCGGCCGTCAGGATCCTCTCGTCGGCGCCCATGAAGCCCGTGGGCATCGCATCGTCCAGGCCGGGCCGCCCCCCCAGCACGCAGCTACGCTCGGCGAGCGTCCGCTGCCGCTGGAGGGGGGGCGGCGCCGTCCCGTCGTGGACGCTTCGTTGGCGCCGCCGGCCCGCCGAGCCCTTCCCGCCGCCGCCGCCGCTTCCGCCGCCCCCGCCGCTTCCCGCGCTGGCGGGCAGCGCGCCGTCGAGGAAGGAGGGTTCGTCGTACGAGCCCTGGCTCGTGAAGAGCAGCCCGGCCGTGCTGCCTGCGGAGACACGCACGAGGCACATTGCCGTGACTGTGAGCGATAAAAGGATTAAGCCCTTCCCGTTCTTCCCGTTCTGTTCCGATGATGTACGTGTACAATACCAAAATGAAACCGGAGTAAAAACTAAAATAACTTGAATTTCGATTTAAAGCTTTCGTGACTTTTGTCAAGGCTCTCTTCCTCCTCCCTCACAGCTTAAATAGACACTCCAAGCCTAAGACGTGTCATTTAGACTCTGTCTTATCGACAGACATGTTCTTCACCTGAGGACGGCTGCTTGCGTTGTGGCCGAAACGTCGTGAGAATTATTTTATTATGTTTTATTTTTAGTATTTTATTACTTCCCTTCTACGTGACTTTACCAAAAGAACCAAGAAGATAAAATAACTTGATCGGAGCCGAGGCGTTCCACAAGGCCATGCAGGAGGGCGTGTGGCACAGTTTGGTGCCAGCTATCATAGAGTTTGGTCGTGTCGCTATGGTTCTCTGCGGTGAGTTCAAGGTCTTTAAAAACAACGGTGCTACGCCTCTCTAAATAAATTAACGCTGAGCCGTTTGCGACTGGCAGACGTCTTGGAGCGGGAAAGAGTTAAGTGTACCCACCAGAATAAAAATGAATTCCCCACAGATGTTTTGGAGAAAAGGGAGTTGAACTGATAATGAATTAGTTTGAAATTACTCCATGTATCGGTTCATCATTATTAGTAACGGACTTTATTTGTGATGATTAGCCCTCTCAACACTCCTACGAATCCATCGTAACCACAGGATTTGCATCAACCAATCAGAATCATCCTATCCGTTTCCCTAAGTGCCATGTACGTTCTCAAATGCGTCGGCGATCATATGTAAATGGAAAATAGTTAATTCGTGCATGTATTGTGAAAATATATATCGTTAATTGAGAAATCTTGACATTCCTAGTTATTAGTGTCTATACATTTGCATTAAAAACCTCTCAGAGAAGTACAAGTTAACTTAAATTTCGATTTAAAGCTTTCGTGACTGCAGGGATTCATCTTCTTGGTTCTTTCGGTAAAGTCACGTAGAACAGAAACAATAAAAAATAATAAAATAAAACAATAAAATAATTCTCACGACGTTTCGGCCACATCAGGTGAAGACCAGGTCTGTCGGGGAGACACTGTCTCCCCGACAGACCTGGTCTTCACCCGAGGACGGCTGCTTGCGTTGTGGCCGAAACGTCATGAGAATTATTTTATTGTTTTATTTTATTATTTTTTATTGTTTCCATTCTCCGTGACTTTACCGAAAGAACCAAGAAGATACAAGTTAACTTGTTTATCAATCATTCTTTTCCGTGACCAGGGAGATTCTTTTGAAATTACCTTCCAGTTATGTAATTTAATGTAAAGCCATTTAATAAACGCAAAATCATGCAAATAACATCTCTAAATAAAAAAATGTTTAAGATCTCTCTTCAAGTGGTTGAACTCACGGTTTCTATTCTTAAGTTTGTCGAGTAGAGAATTCGAATTCTGGCTATTACCTGATGAAGCTCGTTGTAATCACCAGCGAAAAGTCACTGAAATTGTAAATTTTGTGGGTTTATTCTCCAACACTCTGGTGTGCTGAAGTCGTAACTAACTGGCACGTTTTCCTTACGTGACAAACCTTACAAAAATGGCTGTGTCGGGTGGTGGTGGGTTTAACGACACATTTATATTTAAGTCATCTAACCAAAAAAAGCCTTTATTATCGAGAATTCCCTGCGACAGCGCCCGCCTTCTGAAAAGAACGGTATCGTGTAAGCAATACAATATCATACAAGACAACGTGTAATCATACACGTCAACATATCAGGAAGACGATGAGCACGACGGTACTTGGAGAGCTCTTGACCGACAGCGGTCCGTGGGTTTACGGCTACGGCAAAGTAAGACGGCCTTGTCGGTCCCGTGTTGGCGGCCCGCGCTAGAAACTCACGGGGGATCACATCCCAGTTCTTACCGGCGCCCCCCATCACGTCACCCATGCTGCCCGAGTTGTCGAAGCTGCCGCACGACATCTTGACGATGCTTCGCACCGAGTGGAAGCTGGACCGTTTGTGCTCGAGGTCTGTGTGGTCGCCGACAGCATCCGTGGCATCGCTCGCGCCCGCCTGTGGCAGCTGGTCCCGGCTGCCTTGCCGGCTGTCTCCGTCCGACACTGTGTAGGAAGACAAAGATCCCCCACCCGTGTAGCCTTAACAGACTGTAGGGGATAGTGCTGGTAGTGAGCAGCGCCTATGAAGGCCGGCGCGGCACACGAAGGGGGTGTGTGGCCAGCACCACGCCCAGCCGCCTTTGTCTCCCAAGTGGCGATGTTGACACATCGCACCGGGTACTCGTTTGAGGTTGAACCCAAGACCGGTTCAGATAATCGTCTCTGGTGTTGGCCTTGAGTGGGAATCGAACTGGAGTGGCCAGCTTCGTAGCGCAGTGCGCTAACCGCAACACTACCGCTCCCCCCACCGTGTACACATACACACACACAGGCATACATATGGCGGAGCCAAATTAGTCAACGAGGATTACACGTAGCTATCATTGCCTCCTACTCCCAGACCAAGTGATAAGCCACATCCTTGCTCCACAGGAACAGCAGCCACTGAGGGTACCCTTTAAAATGGGTGAGATGCTGTGCTGTGTGATGCCCAAGGAATAAAAGGTACTCTATCAACAATTAATTATTATGTAATGTACACAATGGCACAATGGCAGGGCTACGCAGCTGCTTCTAGGAATTTACCGATGTAACAATTTGCCCATCCGCTCCACCTCTGCTACTGTGCGTGACCGGCGTTGGGTCACCGCATGCATCGTGAGCATAAGGAACAATTTTTTTTATTAAAGTAAAGAATGTGTTTAATTACTGTGAATTAAACACATTCAGATATTCTTCTGAAAAAACAAGCATTCGTCCGATGAGCTCATGCTTGTTTATAAAATTCTCCGTAATCAAAGCCCAGCTGTGTTGTGTGTGTGGGAGACTTGACAGGAGGGTCATGACTCACAAAGTTGACATGACATCACTCAGTCGGGGTGACATTTCTCAGGCCGCTTAGCGAACGCTGAGAACGCAAGAGTTTATTTACGGAGGCTCGTGGGCTTGGAATACGATGCCTGCCAGAGTGCTCCTACTTACTCATCCTCCAGCCGAGGCTTCATGGAAAAAAAAAACTGTAAGACCGAGCCCACCAATTGAAACGCTCCCATTCCGTGCCATCCTACGACGAGCTTTTTGAAATTATGAATCCGTGAATGTCGTCTCTGTTGCCATCCGTTCCGCGCCATTCGTTTTTGAACGTTCGTTCCCATTCCGGTGGGAATCCCACGAGAAGAAGTCCATCGTACTGCAAGATCGGACCGTGTCTGTGTCCAGCGCTTGCTGAGCTGCATCGGCTTCCGGTTGCCGAACGAATACATTCGAAGTTCGAACTCATTACACACAAAGTGCTTGCCACAATTGAACCACGATACCTCGCCGATCTCGTCATGGAGCATAAACCATCAAGCGAACTCCGGTCGTCCTGCACAGCAGCAGCGGCTTTTGGCTGGCCATCGAACAAAGACGGTCGCCGCATCGCACGGCGCTTTCAGATGCGCTTCTGCGGCCGTCTGGAACGCTCTTTCCTTCCGATATCAAGAAGCCACTGGGGCTATGCACTTTTAAATCATCTAGATTGAAAACGAATTTCTTTAGAACTGCTTTTTGTGATTAGTCTGTCGTCCTCCCCCACACTTCTGTTCACCACGGTAGGCTATGTATGGTGCGAAAGAAGGGAGAAATGCTACGTGCGTCTGAGAGCTGCCTCTCTCTCACACAACCCGGCGGAACTGCTTCTGAGATTCATTAATTTGCATTTCTACCCTCACTCAGAGGTACACGTGTTGACATCGCCTGCCATCACATTCAGCAAAGGTCAATCCACTGGTGAATGAAGGCCTCTCAGGCAGGTTTCCTCCTGCATATATACAAACAAAAACGAGGATCCTCCGTATAGCCTGACCAAACTGTAGGAACAAGTGCTGTTCGTGCAAAAACCGATGAAGGCCGGCATGGCACACGAGGGGGTGAGTGGCCAACACCAGACTCGGCCGGCCAAGGCCCCTCAGTGGTGATGTTTACACATCGCACCAGGTACCCATTTGAGGCCGAGTCAACCGAGGGGAGGCCCAGGACTGGTTCAGATAATCGTCACTGGTATTGGCCGTGAGCGAGAATCGAACTCGGACCGCCGGGTTCGTAGCGCAGCACGCTAACCGCTACACTACCGCTCCCCCACACGTAGATATGTACATAGAACATCGCAATTCCCAACGAACCACCACCACCCCCCCTCAGGGAATCCCGCCGAGAACGCGTCGTCGCCTCTTACTTGAGCTACTGTCACTCTCGCGGAGGGCTTCGCCCGGTCGCAGGCCGCACAGCGCCACGCCCGAGAGTCGGCTCGCCATGGAGAGCAGCGCCTCGCTCTTCTGCGCGTCCTCCTTGGACAGCGAGTTGTAGCCCTGGTCCGAATGGCCTCCTGCAATTCCAAGCCGGCCATCGAACGTCCCCTGTTAAAATCTCCACTCGCGTTTCGGGGGTATACCGGAGGACTGGACTTTGGGTCAATGGGGCCTATGTAACTCCATGGGGCCTATGTAACTCCATGGGTCTCTACGCAAGTCTATGGGTCTCTGCGAGTCCATGGGTCTCGATGTAATTCTGTGGGTTTCCATGCGAGTTCGTACATCTCTGCACTCGAGTTTATTCGTCTCTGTAAGTCTACGGGGCTCTCTACGCATGTCTATGGGTCTCACCTCAAGTCTGTGGGTTTCTATGCCACAGACTTGAGTTGACGAATCTCTATGCAAGTTGACGCATCTCTATGCAAGTCTGTGGGTCTCTATGCACGCCCCCCCTCCCCAACCATACCTGTGCTGCTGACATCCTCGGCCGAGCCCACGTGCGTGAGCTCGCTGGTGGAGGGCACGTGCTCAGAGCCGTGCGCGTCCGCGCCGCTCTCCAGACTCCCGTGGCTGCCCGCGTCGCTGCCGTCTGCTGCACGCGGAGGGTCGAAGGGCACGCGTCACAACCCACGACACACTGCGCAAGCCTAATGATTGGTAAACATGTCCCATGTGAATAGGAGAGCACCGATTCAAAGTGTGTAGGTGCCTCAGCGTTAACAGATTTCGTGTGTGTGCGTATGTGTGTCCACGTCCCATGTGATATAGCAAGTGGTGATTGAAATTGTGTGTTTCATGATGGGGAGTGGTGGAAGTCAGTTTAACTTGTAGGCTTTCAGGACCAATATCATCCATCCCTAACCTAAAAAAAACCTCTATTATGGTGGCATAGTGTTCGCGCGGTACTGCCATCCGAACCTGGCGACCAGAGTTAGATTCCCAGCGATGGCTAACATCAGTGGTGATTATCTGAACTGGTCCTGGGCTTCTGCTAGTTTGACTCGGCCTCAAAAATTAGAAAGTGGTGCTGCATGTAAACATGAGCACGGGAGAGACAAAAATGCTGGCAACACTACCCCCTTGTGGTCCTGCCAAACGGCACTACAAGATCACAAAGTGCTTGCCACAAATGTGCCACAATGCTTAGCCGATTTCATCAAAGAGCATAAACCATCACGCAAACTCCGGTCATCGGCTTTGGGCTCGCCATCGAACAAAGATGGTCGCCGCATCAGATGCACTTCTGCGCCCGTCTGGAACACTCTTCCTACTGACATTAGGAGCTATGCACTCTTAAATTTAAACTGAAAACTAATTTCTTGAGAACTGCTTCATGTGTTTAGCTTGTTGTCCTTCCCCCACACCTCCGATTAGAGACCATGGTTGGCTAAGTACAGTGCGAAAGGAGTTACTTGTTACATTTTGCCTTTTGGTGTTCTCTGGTCTGACACTGGTGAGAGATTAGGCCATAAAGAAGGCTGTCTCTGGAGTAGGCCAATCAGTTTCAAAGACAATGCATATATTATCAGAGCATGTTTGTTTGCATGTTCACCACCAGTACGTGTGGTTAATGCATACTTGATTCCTTGCAAAATATTTATATTTGGCGTTTGAACATCTGAACACCTCCTGTTTTATTTCCAGGAAGGGTAAAACCCATTCTTATTTTTCATACTTGTTCCAACAGTCTGTTTCAAGGCTAAACGGGAGATGTTTGTCTTCGGCCCACGTAACAAGGGAAGGTAGTGTGTCCGGGACTGTCCTGGGTGTGTATCACTAAGAGCTTTGGGTGTTTTGGATTATTGCGGCTTCCGCTACGCTCAAGTTAATCGGTGACAATGCTGCTTGTGAGAAAGTCTTGGTTGTACAGTTTGGTGTGGACTGCAACAATGGGGCAAATAATGTTGCATTTGCAGCAAATTTGTCCCAAGGTATTATTCAGCTGATCATAATATTGCTGATAGTCCATTTTATGATGGTCACATGACAGCCAGGGCAAAAAGACAGACTCCTACACGGTCAGATGACTAGAGAGCCAGACGGCTAAACAACGACATGACCGATCCGATTATGGTATCCCGGGTTGGGTTGCTTTTTCGAACTGCATATTGGGCCTTTTCTCTCGCAAGTTTACAACTACTGACGATGCTCACGCAGTTGTGCACAGCTGAAAGCTTGAGAGGATTGATGCTCAACACAAAGCCCAACGCGGAAGACCGCACTTGGATTACAAGTTGCCGTGAAAACGTCCGTGTTACAGTTATTCTAGGTGACCAGATATGCACCCAAGAGGCAGCCATTCAGATGACACAACCATCAAGCGGCCAGATCACATGGCTGCCAGCAGGCCTGGATACCAGAAAGTCAGACGGTGGCCTGATGACCTGCTTGCTGGAAGGTTTAACAACCAGATAGTCAGATGACCAGATGATCTGCATGCTGGAAGATTTAACAACCAGATGGCCGGATGGCCTGATGACCTGCTTGCTGGAAGGTTTAACTACCAGATGGCCAGATGATCTGCATGCTGGAAGGTTTAACAACCAGATAGCCAGATGGCCGGATGATCTGCATGCTGGAAGATTTAACAACCAGATGGCCAGATGGCCGGATGACCTGCTTGCTGAAAGGTTTAACAACCAGATGGCCAGATGGCCGGATGATCTGCCTGCTGGAAGGTTTAACAACCAGATGGCCAGATGGCCGGATGATCTGCCTGCTGGAAGGTTTAACAACCAGATGACCAGATGGACTGATGACCTGACTGCTGGAAGGTTTAACTACCAGATGGCCGGATGACCTGACTGCTAGACACCACCCAGACAGTCCATCATTCCACCTGACAGTGTGGGTGAATCACCGGCCGACGGGAGGCGTTTGCGCAGCGTCTGCCGGAACTGCACCACGCCGTGCACCACATTCCGGACCTTCGTCCACAGGAAGTAGCCGCCCCGGTTTCCGGAGGGCCAGGTGCTCTCGAGGACGGCCTGCGGACGCCACACGAGGAAGGGGGAAACATACGGGGCGCGTCTTAAGACGCGTCACTGAAAATCTCACGCAGCGGTGAATTAAACAAGTGTAATGGGACACCCTGCGGAATGAGACATCACAGAACTACCTCCAAGATCACCTTTACGCGATTTATTTTGTCCACAGCGGAGTGCTACGTTTTCCCATAAGCTTTGCAATAGAGAGAAATGTCGGTCACATAGCAATCAGACTGGATTCTACTGTTGAGTCTGTGGGTCTCCATGTAGGACAATGGATCTTCCACTTAAGTTACTGGCGACCGGGCTTAGACCATCAACTCGCACTACACTCTATTATATCATTGGTAGCCGAGACTCTGCTTCCGCAGATTTCTAAGCCTCGGCCACCCACCTTGTTGTAGAAGCCGTAGGTGATGGCGTTGGGCTGCACGCCCATCTTCTTCATCTCAAAGAGCACCTTGACGGCGAGTACTGGGTGTCCGTACAGGCCGCACAGCTGCATCAGCACGCGATAGCACACCTACAGCGTGCAGAGCGGACACACGGCATGAGAACAACCAACGGGGGGAAGCGTGTTTCTATAATGACGATGTTTGTGTGTGTATATAGTTCGATTCCCGCTCACGGCCAACACCAGTGAAGATTATCTGAACAGGTCCTGGGCCTCCCCAAGGTCAACTCAGCCTCAAATGAGTACCTGGGGTGGTGTGCAAACGTCGCCACTATGGAGGCAAAGGCGGCCAGGTGTGGTGCTGGCCACCCACGCCGTTGTCGTGTGCCGTGCCAGCCTTCGTAGGCGCTCGCTAACAGCACTTTCCCCAAAAGTATGTTAACGCTACACGGGAGGATCCTTTCTCTGCTTTGTTATATACAGGTAGTCCCCCGAATTACGATGGTCCGACTTACGATATTTCGATCTTACGATGGCGATAGCGATACGACAAAATTGTCTAATATTTTACATTTCGCGCGGCAGGAAAACGCAGCAGCGTACGAGGTACGATACTGTACGTTAGGACGCTGCCGGGATTGTTTCCTGAAAAAACTTTCTATTAAATTGCAGTTCATATAGGTGGGCTAAGAATTGACCTTTTTTTTAACTTTACATTTTACTGTGCAATACAGTATTGTAATTAATAAACACATACAGTATATAGTTGATACAGTACGGTACTGTAAATTGCTATGTTTTGCTAAATTATAACCATTCTTTAAGACTCCTGGGTAGGCTAGGCCATCTTCGACTTACGATATTTTCGACTTACGTCGGGGTCGTCGTAACGCATCTCCGTCGTAAGTAGAGGACTACCTGTACTATGTAAAGGCTGATGTGCCACAACTTGTTGTCATGCTATTAGCTTTGTCCACCAACCAGATTCTGGAATCGACGACATAATATTGAATACCTTCATGTCTGAGCATTTGAAAACCTATGAAAAGCCATTTGACTCGGTGGAAACTGATTAAGTCATGGCAAGCACTCAAAATGTATGTTATTATACGGCTAAGCAAACAAAACGAGCGAGAGAGAACAAATGAGGAACCACGAACAAAACAACACAAATGGGCAGACGCCACGCACCCACGCTGCAGACTCAACATGGACACACACACACAGACTCAACATGGACACACACACACACATAGCCACGCACACACACCGCAGACTCAACACGGACACACGCACACAGCAGAGACTCAACACGGCCACGTACACACACACATATATGCACACGGCCACGTGCACACATACACACACGTGCACACACACACACACGGTCACGTGCACACACACACACGTACACACACACACACGTACACACACACACACGTACACACACACACACGTACACACACACATACGTACACACACACACACACACGGCCACGTACACACACACGCGCGCATAGACGAAGCTCGCGTCACCTCGTCGGGCGGCTCCAGCTTGTGCTCCTGCATGCGCAGCAGCACATCGTAGGCGGTGCGCAGGGCGCGGCTCTTGGGGTGCGTGACGCGCACGTACGACGGCAGGCAGATGAACCACAGGCTGTAGCAGTGGCCCAGGAGGCACTTGGCCCACATTTGCGGCATCGTCGAGCACTTGCGCGCCTGCTTCTGCGCCGACTTGATCTCCTGCCGGAGGGCGACGCAAAACATTTTCGCGAGGGGTTTGTTTGCGTGTGACAAGACTCCGCGCCTGCGATGGAACTTTTAGGGTTCGGTGGCGACGCAAGGCCTCTCTCGCAGACTCTGCAAGGACTCCCGCTGACAGTGTAACGACCCTCCAGTGTCTGTAGTATGTACGTTGAACTTCTTTCGCACCGTACGTAGCCCACCAGAGGTGGGATTTTAACCATTCGTAGAACTGGAATATAGTCTGCGTGCTGTGATCGGTGACCGGATTGAGACCACCAACTCACTACGTTTGAGACACCGACTTCATTACAGGGGGCTGAAACTCCGATACGAACCCAGAATCCCAGCGGTGCTAAGCCAGTGCTCTGACCCTGAGCCGACTCGGCCACCTCTCTCGTCAGTGCAAGCAATTTCATTTAATTGCCTTTGAGGATTGTACGGACACAGGCGACGAGTGTTATTAATAGAAAGTTGCATACGTTGGATACGTCACTAACCACCAAAACACGTGTGAACACACGGCTGGGTAGTTCCGTTCACAGCTGTGTGTGTGTGTATATGTGTGGAAAAGTCGTGCCACTCCGAGGCGTGTGTACCTGCTTGGTACGGCGAGCGAGCGCTGGGGCGGGGCTGTTGGGGCAGCTGTTCTTCTTGGCGCAGCCCTGAGGGACCTTCAAAAGCCCCAGGGGCATCTCGAACAGCGAGTGATTCAGCACCGGGAAACCCGAGTACCTGGGACAACGAAGCCACCGCAGTTGAAACGAGGACGCGACAAAAAACGCACGTTAACGTGATTATTTTTTGCTCCGAAACAAGTGAGGTGGTTTTGATTTTTTGGCTTGGCTAACATTGGCGGAGAGTAATACCTGAACCTGTCCTGTGCCCACACCAAACAAAGACCCCCCGTATAGCCTGAACAGACTGTTGGGGCAAGTGCTGTGAGCAAGCGCCTATTAAGGCTGGCACGGCATACGATGACGAGGTGTGGTCAGCATCATGCCCGTGCAAGGTTATTGTTTAAGGCCGAGTCAACCTAAGGGAGGCCCAGGAACCGTTCAGATATCAATCACCACTGATATTAGCAAAGGCTGAGATTTTAACTCGAGTGGCCGGGTTCATAGTGAACCACGCCAAGCATTACGCCACCGCTCCCCTCCACGTGACAAACACGAAGCACATGCATAGGGCCTCTTGCAACTTCTTTCGCACCGCATGTAGCCAGCGTGCAAAGTGCAGTGCGTAACGACCCTGGTGGTGAAACCCTGACTTAACTCTAGATTTGAAGCTTTCGTGACTGCAAGGATTCATATTCTTAGGTTTTTTCGGTAAAGTCACGTAGGTAAAAAAAAATGTAAATGAATAAAAGTAATATAAAATAAAAATCACGACGTTTCGGAGGCAACACAAGCTTCCGTCTTCAGGTGGAACCGTCACAGCACGATTTTACCCGACTTAACTCCCAAGGGGCAAGGGTGGTGAGAGCCCTATAACCGCGTGAAGGGGTCCGCGCGTCCGCACGCGCGCGTCTGCTCGAGTTGCTGGGCCTCACTTGTACGCGGGCTTGAGCGCGTCGGGCCCCGGGCCGGCGGGCGGCTCTGGAGGAGTGATGAACACGGTGTGCTCGCTGCGATACGACTCGTCCAGCTCGATGAGTCGAACGTCGTCCGCCTTCTCCACGTCCACCTGGATGGACACGACGACACGAAGAGAAACAGGGACGGGGTCGGCAAGCTCGTCACGTCGGGTGTCACGGGAGCGAATCAGAATCGGAGTGTTTATTTCATACGGGAGGAGGAGCCCAATGAGCTATGAAGATCTTTTTCGCAGACGTCCAGGAGGTGCCGTCCGCGCTTGGCTGGGCTTAATTGATTTCGTTCGGCGTCGAATTTTTGGCCATGGCCAACATTGGTGGCGAGCGATAACCCAACCTGTCCCGGTGCTCCTCGTCCCCTCACAAAACGTGCGCTGACCAGCGTGGTGAAGTATGGTCAACACCCCCCGCACCCCCCACCCCCCCGACTGACATGGAGTGGGGGAGGCCTTCATCCACCAGCGGATTGAGAAAGAGCTCTAAATTATTATCTTTAAGATTCAATCAAAATAAGTGTTTAAGAAGAACATTAAATTGCGCGGTCCCTTACGTTAAGGCAAGCTTCGAGGACACTTCCTGGAGTCGTGGAGTTCTTCCATTACTCGTACGATACATTTCATTAAAGCGTGTTTTTAAAATTTTTTGTTAAATATTACTTATTTGAACCGCATCTACCACATAAAGCAAGGAAACCTGTATATACATATATTTGGGACCTTTTTACTGGCAAAAAGGTCCCAAGATATCGCTGCTCAGCCCGAGCTATAAATACTCTTGATACGTGCATTTTTTTTTCGCCTTTTGGCGTTCTCTGGTCTGCCACTGGTGAGACTAGGCCATAAAGAAGGCTGTCTCTGGTGTAGGCCAATCAGTTTCAAAGACGACACATATATTATCAGAACATGTTCGCCACATACGTGTGGTTAATTGAGACTTAATTCCTTGCAAAAGGTATCTATTTGGTATTTGAACATATTAACATCTTTTTTTATTGGCAAAAAGGGTAAAGCCTATTCTTATTTTTGCACACGTATACTTTTTAGCCTTATTTGCACCGTCTCGAACGACTCGCGACTCGTTGGTTCCACGAGACATATGCCGAGTGACAGATGGAGGGGGAGGCGTGGGTGGGCGTGGGGACTCCACCTTCTCCACGCAGTCGTCGAAGAAGGCGAGGCTGGCGTCCTTGTCCGTCACGAAGGAGCACTCCTCGATGAAGCGGATGAACATCTGCGTGCGCATCATCTGCGAGTAGAACTTGTTGTACGCTCGGTCGCGGCTCTTCAGGAAGCCTACGAGTAACGATCGCATGGTCAACATGAGACTTGGTGTCCGTCTCGAGGCTTTCTCACTGCACTACAGTTCCCATGCCCGTGCGGATTGGCCAATGTCATGAATAACAAGAAACCTGCAGGCGCCAACATTGACATATAACATCCAAAACCTTATTTCGATTAACGATTTCACTCATTTCGATTTAAAGCTTTCGTGACTGCAGGGATTCATCTTCTTGGTTCTTTCGGTAAAGTCACGTAGAAGGAAAATAATAAAAATAAAACATAATAAAATAATTCTCACGACGTTTCGGCCACAACGCAAGCAGCCGTCTTCAGGTGGAGAACAGGTCTGTCAAGTAGACAGAGTCTGAATGGGGCGTGCCAAGAAGATTTAATCATTATGAATCTGACTGGCGATGCTACATTGGCATTGGCGACACTCACACTCGTCAACCACGTCGCTTTAAAAGAAAAACAAATAAAATTGGCGAGGTTTTGGGAAACGGCCCTACTTGATAGCACAACGAACACAGTTGGCCGAGATGTTAACTACCGCGCCTGGTATACAGGAGGTCGTGGCTGCGATGCGACCCTATCATTTGTGGCCAGGTCACTTATGAAAAAAGAGCTCTATAAATCAGTGGGCCTTACCTGGTAACATAAAACAAGTTTAGTTGATATATACATTTTCTTCCAATGCATCATCACATCCACGGAGGCATCCGAAACTTACGCCACACCCCTCCCCCACCCCCCCAATCAGCTCCCACCTTGCAGGTCGAAGAGCGAGCGCGCGTCTGTGGCCTTCTCGGAGGGCGCCTGCGTGATGGGGCGCAGGTACGTGCGGTAGCCCTTGAGGATGGAGGCCATGAAGAGCAGGAACGCCTCCTGGATCTCCATCTCGAGCTGCTGCTGCCGTGCGCGGCGCTTGAAGTCCAGGTCGAAGATTCCGGATTCGAGCACAGGGTCCTCCATGGTGCGGTGGTTCACTGCGCGGGGTCACACGGCGGTGGAGGAGGGGGGGCAGCAGGCGGCGATGGTGGCATTGGCGGTGAGGTCAGGGACTCGCCGATGTTGAAACCGGAGCGATCGGAGCAGAGAGAGGAGATGACACGTCCGTGTGCACCTTACGCGGCATCTTAGCCATCTTGGTCAGCGGTGGCCAACTGGAGTCTTCCCGAGTTGCATGGGACTGTTTAATGAACCACATGCGGCGCTATCTAAGGGTCATAACGTTGACTGTACTAGCAAAGTAGCAAAGAATCATGAATGTCTCCCATGCCGTGCTGAAAACTGTCAATTATATATACACCTATATAATACTTGGCTCTTTGCAGAACTCATGGGTATTTGTTTGCTCTTGGTCGGTTACAGGTTGGACGCCCTGGCCTAGGTGAACATCATATTCATCTGAAAGACATCTAAAAGATGATTTTCTAATCTCATTCTTATGAAGGACACCGCATTAGTGAAGAGGTGATGCCAATCATCTATCCAAGGGATACGTGGAAATCACACGCAACTGGAGAATACGTTTGTTGAGAGGAAAAGTAATGATGTAATTTGCTTGAAAAAAAAAATCAACATCTCATTTCTCTGCGGGTCACATCAATATTTCATTCATTTTGCGATTATATTCATATAGAATACACATTTCATTTAAAGAGATAAGATTTCAATATCTCAATCATTTGGAAGTCACATTTAGATTGCATGCATCATTCATCTGGAATAATAATTAATTATCATTCAAATGTATAATGCGCTTTCCATCCTAGTATCCCAATGCGCAATGCATGAGAAGCAGGAAACAAAAACAGAACCAGGGGCAACCGACCCAACTGCAGAGGGGAGGGCCACTTTAAAGGGATGGGGTTTTGAAAGCAGACAAAGCAGAGACAAAATTCAAATTATGATAATTGTTTTTTTACCCTTCTATCTGGCAACAAAACTGACACCTTTTATACAAGGAGTTATGTTTGCATAGACCACAATACCTGCAGTCATAATGCAAACAAAAAACATAACTCTGATAATGTATGCACTGTCCTTGAAGTTGATTGGTCCACACCCGAGACAGCTTTCCTTAGAGCCTAGTCTCACATGGGTTGGACCAGATGACGTCAAAAGGCGAACAACTCAAAGACAATGCACCATCAGAGTATCAGAGTATGATGGTGCATTGTCTGAGTTGTGCGCCTTTTGGCGTCATCTGGTCCAACCCATGTGAGACTAGGCTCTAAGGAAAGCTGTCTCGGGTGTGGACCAATCACCTTCAAGGACAGTGCATACATTATCAGTTATTTTTTTTGTTTGCATTATGACTGCAGGTATTGTGGTCTATGCAAACATAACTCCTTGTAAAAAAAGGTGTCAGCTTTGTTGCCAGATAGAAGGGTAAAAAAACAATAATCATATTTGTTACTGGCAAATGAGGTTCCAATGGTATAATTCAAATAAATTTTGAGAATGCAGTTAATGGACCTGGAGGAGGACAACAACATCATCTGAAGGGACACAGCAAGCGACGGTTGTCCACTGCGTCTCCACTTACTCGCCACGATCTGCTGGTGGAGGTTGGTGAGGGTGCTCATCAGGTTCTTGCACGGTTTCTTGGGCAGCAGCCGCCAGTTCAAAGACTTCCTCTCCTCCGTCCTGGCAATCGATCACAACCACAAACCCATCAGACTGTGGATATGAGAGCTCTCCAGTCACTGCCAAAGCAAACGCAAATACCGAGGATGTGGTATCGAGTGCACTTATGAAATTTACTTAGAACTTCCGAGCATTTTTATTTCGGGAACGCGATTTTAATGGCACACTTTTTAATTAAAAATATTCAACGTGCACGGTTACACATGATGCCGTTTCATTACCATTAATACCCAGCTGCAAATTGGCAGCTGGCATACAACCGGGACAGCCTGGGGGTTTATTTCCCAATTAAATTTTCATATAAAATTAGAAACTTTTTTTTATACCAGTTTATATTTCTGAAAGGAAATAGTTGATGGGCTACTATTTAATACAGTCTCTGTTCCCTGCAACCTATTCCAATTATACCAAGTGTATAATGTCTTTGAAACCCCATCGACCAGTGCGCCCCCACCACCCCCACGACACCCCCCTTCCCTTCTCCCCGTGTCAGAAATTACTGCGGTAGATATTTTTCAAAGGACCTTTCCATTAAAAAAAAACAAATTATAGTGACCTTTTTTTAATCCTTCATGCGATAAACAAGATTGCACTCTCATTCACACCCTGCTATGACAATATCCACAAACTTAATTTGGAGCTTTCGTGACTGCAGGAATTATTCTTTGGTTCTTTCGGTAAAGTCACGTATAAAGATAAAATAATAAATTGTGTGCCTATATTTGTTCTCTCTCTATGTATCTCTGTGATATCTGTCTCTGCTTACATGTCTGTCTATATGTCTCTGGTTCTGTGTTTTATCTCTCTCTCTCAAATTTAGCATTCTCAGGAAGAACGTAATCAACCAGGTAGGGTGTTGACTGTTATGTTATCCGACTCTCTGTTGTACTACATTACATTTCTAAGTATACTAGATTTGTGTTTCTAATTAATTTATACCTGATGATGATTGCTTGTGTTGCAATCGAAACGTCGTATGCTAGTATTTAATTTAATTTATTATTTTATCTTTATACGTGACTTTACCGAAAGAACCAAAGAATAATATCCACAAAACTAGTATTGAGGCAGAGGTCACATCTCAAAACTAGCTCTGTGATATCTGCTTCCGTGAACAGTTCCCTAACGTTCAGCGGGGCTCTCACCATACAGCTGGTTTTTCCATTGGCTATTGCGGAGCCTCAGAAGAACCAAACTGTGAAACGCTGGCCTCACAAGACAAGTCAACGCGGTTTGGGGCCAAGCAGGGCCAAGTGCGATGTTAGTGACTATTTCGTCTTATATGTCGCGTCACTAATATGTTGTATGTATGCTGAACTTCTTTTGCACCGTACGTAGCCAAACCATGCCTTTCGGAGGTGCGGGGAAAGGACAACAAATTAAAACACAAAAAAGCAGTGATAAATAAATTACTTGATAATTGTTTTTTTACCCTTCTATCTGGCAACAAAACTGACACCTTTTTTACGAGGAGTCATGTTTGCATAGACGACAATACCTGCAGTCATAATGCAAACAAAAAACATAACTCTGATAATGTATGCATTGTCCTTGAAGTTGATTGGTCCACACCCGAGACAGCTTTCCTTAGAGCCTAGTCTCACATGGGTTGGACCAGATGACGCCAAAAGGCGCACAACTCAAAGACAATGCACCATCAGAGTATGAGAGCTCAGGGTAAGCATTTCCACCATTGGTACCTCATTTGCCAGAAATTACTTTTCATTCTAGTGTTGCATCACTTGCAAATCGACTCGTTCACTGCAGTGCGTCGTCAGAAGCATGGCTCGGAGGTGTTCTGCAGTGGAAAAACAACCCTGGCAGTTTCCCCGAGCTAGTGCAGCACAGCCCCTGCATGGCTCAGTTGCACAGCGGCAAAAGAGGTGTCCGTCCCATGACACAGTTGGGATGATGTTGGGCACATTGGGTGACACCCTGTGCCGGGTCAAAACTAGTTGAGCGGAGGCCGCTGCAGCCGCGGCGATTCTCATACCAACACCCGCCATTCGCCACTGAGTGACGGTGATGTCACCACGGCGTCTTTGTTAGACCAGGTGCACTGAGGCCACGTGAAGTGTCGAAGGCTCGCTGACAGGTCACGGGACAGACGCAGGCGCGATAGGCTTGCCGACTGAGATGACCGGTAGATGCACCAGCTGTATCCCCCTACTGCGCCAACTTGCTGCCTTTAAGCCGCCCGGCGCTCCGCTTGTGAGCGTCGCTCCTCTGCCCTCAGATGATGTTGGAGGGTGACTGCCTCCAACTGCCCAGTAGGGTCCTTCACGAGCCTCCTCCGCGGCAATTCCACACAGACACACGCGCGGTGGGGGGGGGTGGGGGGCCCACTCACTGCGAGATTGTGTTGGTGTCGAGGTCGACGCTCACGACGTCGGGCGGGGGCTCGTAGAGGTCAAAGTATCGCGAGTCGAGGCCCACGATGAAGGGGCATGGCGCGCTCAGTATGTCGGCGAGCGACAGTGGGCACAGCGGGATGTAGGGGCACTGCCAGTGGAACGGGAAGATCATCTGCGGGGGCAAGGAGGAGGGGGTGGTAACGAGGCGGAGGTCACGGTGATGTTGACCCCTTGGAGAGACAAGCACTGGCGTACGTTTGTCTTTTAGATGTTCTCGATAGAATTTACAGGGATTCTGTCCAATATGTTAAACCCACAATCAAGTTAAGTAGCATTAGTAATAGTAATAGGTTTTTACCCTTTCAACTGGTACAAAAACTGACACCTTTATACAAGGGATCATGTTTGCAATAATCACAACACAAGCAGTCAAAATGCAAACAAAAATAAACAACTCTGATAATGATATGCACTGTCCTTGAATTATATTGGTCCACACCCGAGACAGCTTTTCTTAGAGCCAGGTCTCACATGGTGTTGGACCAGATGACGCCAAAAGGCGTAGCATTGTTTACTAACATTCGATTTTATAAGATTCTATCTAGGATTCACAGCTAAAATAAATATAATAATTGTATTGTTTTTAACACATCCCATCAGCTACATGGCATTGTGGGAAGTGTGTTTTTTTATATTAGCAGGATGGCTTATATATTTATGCTGGACTTCTTTAGCACCATACATAGCCAACCATTCTCATCGGAGGTGCAATGAAATACACGCAATATTCAGCGTCTCGTCAGCCGAGTAAGTCTTGCTTAAACGAATGCTCTTGAACTGCTAGATGTTTATGGGTAAGGATCCTCACTGTGAAGATACTGCTCTTCGTACGATGCGCGCTTATTATACAGGCTGCTTCGAAAAAATGTTAACACTTATATGGGACTATCGTTATTAATGGAAAAAACGAACGGATAATTCACTGTAACATGATTTAAAAAATGTAAGTTAATAACTTCAAAAAGTCAGAGTCTCCACTTGTTCGCCATCATTGTCAACGCGTGCCTGGAATCTCTCCAGGTAGTCTCCAGAGCCCGGAGGCACATTTCTTGTGGTATTGTTACAAATTCTCCCAAGTGTTAACATTTTTTTGAAGCATCCTGTACAAGGCATGCGCCTATCCCCAGCTTGTGCAGACTTTTCCCACAAAAGGCCATAGGGCGGTGGCGTTTAAACCTCCCAAGGGGGGGCTGCTGCTGAGCCGAGGGTTGTAGAAGGACCAGAGTTTGTTGTGGTGACCCCGTGGGGTCGCGGAGGAAGGTCACGGGAGGGGGCGGCGGGGGGGGGGGGGGGGTGTCCCGCTCACCGCGTTGAGGGCCTCGGCGGCGCTGGTGAGCACGGCAGGTCGCAGCGAGTGGATGAGGATCTTGTTCTCCGTGAGGGCGAACAGGAGCAGCGTGGCCGCGTTCTCGGGCCCCAGGTTCTGGAGCAGCGTGCAGAACGACGCACCACTGCCCGGGGCATGAGAGAAGGCAACCTTGAGCTCGTTGTGTTTTGCGGTGCGTTCACTACTGCGTGGATCGCTGCGTCCCTTCATCAATTGATAAGGGGTCTTATTATAGCCTTACGATCACGTCACCATCATCAGGAGCTATGATCTATCCACTGATGGATGAAGCAACAATACATCGAGCTTCTGCTAAACTATCGGCTACCGTCCCTTCTAGCGAAGCGTCCTGCCCAAAATAAACCTAATCTTCAATGAGGGTCAATATGATTTCTGTAACTTATGGATGTTCTCCGAGTATAATTCCATGCAAGCGCATAGTAGAAGCATTGACTCAGATGTGATAGAATGTTTCTCTTTTTTATTCATATGACGTATATAATGGGGTTACTTGACCTCTGCAGGGGACTAGAGCTGCTATCATTGACGACAACGTAAAAAATAAAAAATAAAGATTTCGATTTGAATCGCAACCAAGGATCAATAAATAATTCCACTTGTAATATTAACAGGGTACAATATCGCAGTTTTGTTCTGAATGGGCTCAATAGTTTAAGCGGAGTGCTCTTGTCAATAACATTCCGTCAGCACGGCATCATTCATTAAAGAAACCCGACTGTGCCGATGTTACCAAAGAGATGCGAAACCAGTCGTAAGGTTTGTAAAATTAAATGCCGACGCTTGGCCCAAATGCTGCAAAACATGTTTTATTTTCACGTGTACCCATATCTAGCAATTTTTTTGCTCCTTTTAGCAAAGTTCAAGGTGTTATCAGGGCTGAAGATGCCGATAAGAGAAGATCACACCCACTGCTCATTTGAGGCAAGAAGCCATTGACTTTTTTTTTACCTTCAGATAAGTATTAAAAACATTAACTACATTGTAACGTGCCTGAAATAACTTTGGTATTGTAGCACAAATCTAAGCTTGCATTGAACTGGGCACAACGCCATAGCCAAACATGGCAATTGGAATGTATCTTGTAAACACACATACACCACACGCACAGGCTGTGTGTATCCCAGGCTACATTTCAAGAATTTGAAGCTTTGGTAAATGATGAAGAAAAAAAACCCACAAAGAGATCCGCCAGACACGCCGTTATCACATTCCTGTGACGTTATTATGCCAACGCTCCGATTTGTTTGAACGCGTAATTGCGGTGACATCACTGCGAGCGTATTGATGGGGTGTCTGGCAATGATTTTTGAATCTTTTTCTCGTTCACAAAGCTTCAAACTCACGTCAGATAGCCCGGAAACACAGCCTAGGTATGTGTCTATACAATAAGTGGCTAATCTGCAAGTTAAGTCACGTAGAATGGAAATAATGCAATTATAAAAATATTAAACAATAAAATTCTCACGACGTTTCGACTGCAACACAAGCAATCATCATCAGCTGTGAAATCCACAGTAAGGAAATTTCACACCTGATGATGATTGCTTGTGTTGCAGTCGAAACGTCGTGAGAATTTTATTGTTTTATATTTTTTTTATTTCATTATTTCCCTTCTACGTGACTTTACCAAAAAAAACAAGAATATGAATCCTTGCAGTCACGAAAGCTTTAAATCTAAATTTAATCTGCAAGTTATTTAAGAATGTATGTGTCTTTGTCCAGAGAGAACTCCTGCCCAGCAGCTCCACCAATTTCAATGAATGAGGTATGTACATAGAACTGCTTTCCCTCTAAGGAAAAAAACTGGAGGATTTCTACTCAAATCTGGCTGTCGCTTGATGAAGCTGGTTGTAATTACTGGCGAAAGAAACGTCGTACTCATGTTGTAAATGTTGTGGCTTGGCTCTCCCAACACACCTGTGTGCTGTACTCGTAACGAATCGGCATGTTCTGTTTACGTGACAAAACTACATAATTGGCGGTGTTGGTTGGTGGCGGGTTTAATGACACATTTATATATTTACGCAATCTAACCCAAAAAACCTATACTATGGATGATATTAGTCGCAAAAGCCGACGTGTTCAACAGAACTTCTTTCGCACCGTACATAGTAAACCGAGCTAACCGGAGATGTGGGACATCTTGGAAGCCTGTGATATGTTGTGTATGCTATAAAGGACAACATTTCAATTTAACAATTTATCTTCAACCCAATAATTGATCTTATCGGCCCTCACGCTGCCTATCTACTCTATCATGTAAGATAACAAATAGCCTGGCAGGTGAAACGAGCCCCACATCTCCGTTTAAATATCATACGACAGATAGGTGTGTGCTGCTTGACAACAGGGTGTGCACGTTGGATGGTAGGGTGGAGGTTAAAGATTCATCTCAATGGGCCTCCTACGACTCCGGTGTAAAGCTGGCGAGTGGGAGTGTCAGGTGAGCGCTGAATAAATGACGAGGGTCAGGTGAGCGTCACGTCTTATGTGACGCCATCCCTAGGACGGGCCGGGTCCATCAGTCTACAATACAAGCACAATGCTTATTTTGGACCGCTCAATGATTTAGAGAAAAAATGTCCTTTGTCTCTGAATGATTACGACGGTACCACAAATACAGTGGTACCTCGGTATACGTCGTTAATTCATTCCAGAAGAGAGGACTGATACCGAAAATGACGTCTACCAAATAATTTTTCCCATAAGATATAAAGGGAAAGGAAATAATCCATTCCAGAGTATAAGAAATGATATTTTATATGGCATATTATACATCAATGGGGTTGTGTAAAATAACTTATATACTACTTATTACTGAAATGCATACGAAAATTGGCAAAAAATTCACGTTAAAAATGACAAAAAACACGTGAAAATTTATAGACAAATTTCGATTTAAAGCTTTCGTTACAGCAGGGATTCATCTTCTTGGTTCTTTCGGTAAAGTCACGTAGAAGGGAAATAATAACATAATAAAAATATTAAAATTATTCTCACGACGTTTTGGCCACAACGCAAGCAGCCGTCCTCAGGTGAAGAACAGGTCTGTCGGAAAGACAGCGTCTGAATGGCCCATCTGTCGGAAAGACAGCGTCTGAATGGCCCATTCAGACGCTGTCTTTCCGACATACCTGTTCTTCACCTGAGGACGGCTGCTTGCGTTGTGGCCGAAACGTCGTGAGAATTATTTTATTATGTTTTATTTTTATTATTTTATTATTTCCCTTCTACATGACTTTACCGAAAGAACCAAGAAGATGAATTCACAGAGAGTTAGAGCAAGGGTTGTGCACTGAACGAGATCTACAGGCAGACTAAGGAGCGGTGCTTTGTTTCAGTCGTGAACGGGGCTCTAACTCTGTGAATTTTCACCCGACCCATACGAGTTCTAGCAAGCGCGCCGTATCCCAAGCAAGACGTCGTATCAAAACACGACGTGTACCAAATTCGACGTATTCCAAAACGGTCGTATAGCGAGGTACGACTGCATTTGCCAACCGAGAACGTTCGCCTGGTTCTCTCCAAGTCGGTGGTTCCCAACCTGTGGCCCACGGACCAACCGATGGTGCCTGCAAGGGCATTGGAAGCGGTCTTGTGGGTACTAAGAGTTACAGCAGTTTAAATCTTGAAAAGTTATACGTGCAGGGTGTGTCTGCAAATTAATCTTGGGATGGGGGTGGGTGTTGAGTGGTGGTCCGCAGGTCCAGAAAGATTGGGAATCACTGCTCTCAGCTCAGTTGCACAAGTTGCCAACATGCTCTGCGGGGAGCCTCGGGCAAAGGAGCGTGGGTTACCTGAGAGGTAGAGGTGAGGCGATGGGCTGGGACAGCACCAGGGAGTCCTGCATGGACAGCTGGAGCACAAAACACAAATACCATAGCAACAGCAGCTGCTGTTAGTACGCACCAAAGGCAAAGATCCCCTCACTTAGTGCGATAGACTATTTGGGGCAAATGCTGTTTTGCGAGCATGCCTGGCCCCAAGCGCTGACGTTTCACACCACATCAGGCATTGAGTTATGGGTCAATTAAATCGAGAGGCCGATACCTAGTACAGATCGAATTTATCACTGACGTTAGCTGTGGCGGAGAATTTAAATCAGAATATTTATTTATACCGGAGGAATTCGACGAGCTGCGAAGCTCTCCTTCACAGATGTCCAGTAGTCAACTAGTGCGGCTGGTTATGCAGCGCAGTGGGCTAACCAATGCGCCTTCGCTCTCAACCTGGTAAGCATCACGCACACACATCTGCAGTATATTCTCAAAACGACAGGCCCCTTTCGGGACGTGGCAATCAAGGGAGTGATTTTCTGGCAATTATCCCACTCCTGAACAGAGACCACAATGTGAAAAGTGTCTGCACACATTGCTACATTCTCTGAGAGGCTGTCACATGTTCTGGCACGTGACCCGAACCTGGGTAGCTCCCCTCAAACCCAGGTAATTGCATCGATCCCAGGATGTAACAAAACAAAAACCACGTGAACTAGGAGGCACATTACAACAGAAGCCAGCCAAAATGGCCATTTGGGGTGCGATGAAACCAAATGCTAATAAACAATACTGACAGTTCATGATTCCCATGATAATCGCCATCAGCTATGTTCTATCCACTGCTGGATGAAGGCCTCACCACGCTGTTGCCATCCATTATGGCCCAGGAATACCACAATCAATTTCGCTCCCGCACATTGAGACGCTCTAACCTTGTCGCGCAATCTCCCCCGGTTTACGATTCTCGAGGAATGTTACAATGGGTTGGCAGGATCGCTCATACAAAGTTCGCTTTGCCAGTTGCAGAGGACGTGCTGTGTTTCTCCACGAACCCGTCTCGCAGGTGACGATCGAATCAACGAGTGAACGAACAAACGAGGTTACTTTGGTAGTGCATTGTCTTTGAGCTGTACGCCTTTTGGCGTCCTCTGGTCCAGCACCAATTGGGTCGAGGCTCAAAAGAAAGCTGTCTCTGGTGTGGACCAATCAGTTTCAAGGACAACGCATATTTTATCTTAGTGTGTTTTTGTTTGCATTTTGACTACAAGTATTGTGGTTAATGCCGACATGAATCCTCGTAAAAAGGTTTCACTTTTGTTGCCAGAAAAAGGGGGAAAAACCCTGTTATTAAACTAGGTTTAGGTTAAAGAGCCTCACCTGGACAAGGATGCGTGGCCGTTGGGAAGAAGGGAAGGGCACGTGGAACATGAAATGGGAGATGTGCCTACAAGCAAACACCACGAGGCCAAACACACACGTGACAAAACGGGTCAACATTACCGAGGCGAACGCAATCGCACAAACACCCGAAAAACTAAACAAATATCTAATCGCGTTATTTGCTCACGTCTTAAAGCGCAAACAGCACAATTACCACGGGTAGAAGTGAATAGGCATATGGCCACGTATACACATACGATGAAAATTAATGAGAGCTCATTAAGGCAGGGACCGACACACGTGGGAGTGGTGAGGCTGGCATTACGCGAGCCAAGCCGTCCATCTCCGTAGTGCGATGCTGACCACACAAGGCACATTGCTCATTTAGGGGTTAAGTTGTCCCAAGGGAAGGGCAATGCCATTTTCATCATCAACTAAACATGACCAGTCTTGTGCGTAGGCCAGGAATGTTAGCGCAATGCAGACGTTCATGCCGCTGCTCGAAAGATACGTACAAAATCGCCCCGTTTAGCCTTGCAGACTCTTAGAGCAAAAATATATTTGTGAGCACCTATTAAGGCTATTATGGTATGCACCACACCCGCCTATGTCTCCCCAGTGCTGAAATTTACACAATATACCAAGGTACTCATTTAAGGCTGCGTCGACCTTGGGGAGACTTACGACCGGTTCAGACATCACCTCGTCGCTAATGTAAGCCGTGACCAGGAAGTCAAACTCAGGTCACCGGGTTCGAAGCAGTGCGATAACCACTGTACTACTGCTCCCACAAAAGGCACACGGGCCCAAGCACCATCCACTCACTCACTCGCACACACACAATCACATGCAACTATATACACAAAATAGCTATCCATCCACACTCACCCCCACCGCCACACAAGACAAAGATCCCCCATATAGTCTGTAACAGGCTGTTGGGGCAAGTGCTGTTCGTGAGCACCTATAAAGGCCGGCACGGCACACAAGGGGGTGGGTGGCCAACACCACGCCCGACCGCCTTTGTCTCCCCAGTGGCGATGTTTAGACACTGCACCAGGTACTAACATTTGAAGCAGAGTCGACCTAAGGGAGGCCCAGAACCGGTTCAGATAATCGTCACCGGTGTTGGCTAGGTTCGTAGCACAGCACGCTAACCACTACACTACCGCCACATACACACACACAAGCACCACACGACAAATGCTCTACGAAGCCAAATCGGACTGAGCCCTGCTCGCAATGACCTGCGACCACAACGACCGACCACTCCCGCGGCCGCCGCTCACTTCTCAATGGGCAGCACGTGCGGCCCAGAGAACGACAGCCGGTAGACGAAGAGCAGGAACTTGCGGAAGGCGTCGAAGAACGGCCAACGCGACAGCAGGCAGATGCACTTGTTGGTGTTGACAGAGAACGGCGGGCCCGGTAGCGGCCGTCGGTCGACTTTGCTGCGCAGGCCCAGCTGCACGGCCTGCTTCTCGCTGAGCCGCTCCGCGGGATAGGGCTCGTAGAACTGCACCGCCGCCCCGTACACCTGGGATGGAGGAACAATGTTGATGTTCATGATAATAATAAAGTGACGCCAGCGGCCACGTCAAAGGAAACGCTCGCCGAGTGTTGAGAGTGAGCAATGGCGTCACCTAATTTTACGAATTTCGTTCAGAACCGTTTTATTAGAATGTAAAACTACAGGGACAGCAGAGAACAGAACTGTTAATTTGCCAAGAAAAGCTTTGCTTCAGTGAACTCGTACAATAAATATCAGGTGAATAAAAAAAAATCATTACGTATTTTCTGTATCATTGAGAGGGAAGGTCGACTGGCGCTGTTCCGAATGGACACTTTCATCGTTTAAATGATAGCGATTATAAAATTGGAATTGTTGGGCGGGGAGGGGGGCAGGGTGGAGGGGGGAATGTACCATGAGAATTAGGCTATGGGTGTCTTAAACAGAGTCCACCCAGAGCAACAAGACTACCTGCCAGAGGTCGCAAACGGGTTTTGATTCCTTACCCATACCCGTACCCGGCCGCACCAGGGTCGCAAACGGGTACCCGTACCCGGCCAGGTACGAGTAGCCGTTCCCTACCCGTTCCCTACCCGTACCCGAAATGAGTGACAAACGGTTACTCACCAGTGACTCACGGCCTACCCGTACCCATACCCGGCCGCACCAGGGTCGCAAATGGCTACCCGTACCCAGCCGGGTACGGGTAGCCGGGTATCGGGTAGGGTACGGGTATCGGGTACCCGATTGCGACCTCTGCCACCACCCCAACAACGTCAAGGGTTTGGCAATTGGTGCCGCACGCCATGCCCTCCGGCCAAACGGACGAGCGCCGCGGGGTGTAGCAGGAGGGGGGGCACCTTGTCTCCGGAGACGCTGGTGAGGATGAACGTGGAGAAGATGGGTGCAGGGCACTTGGTCTTGGGCGGCCAGCACTCGATGACGGCGCCCATGGGCAGGCAGAACATGGGAACGGCCTCGGGCAGAGGGAACGTTTCGTAGTCCTCGTTCGGGTAGCGGCTCAGCTGGCCTGTGCAGGATCACACGCACGCGTGTGAACAAACGAGCGCAGGTGCCGGCGCTCGGCGAGATGGACAAGCCGGGGTGATGTGGCAGTGGTGGTTGGATGCATTGCGGGTGAAAGTTTTCAACACTTGAAACGAGTGCAGACACAACTGAAGGCTGCGGGTGCTCCTGACATTATTTGTATGTATGTTGACCTTCTTTCACACCGTACGTAGCCGACCGTGCTAATCCTGACAACAGGAATGGGCACAGCAGCATCTTATTTGTCAAGCGTGACGTTGTTACGAAAGCAAAAATAATCAGTCATCCTGAGCAGTGGCCTCCATGCATACATACAAACATACATACATAGATAGATACATAAAAATAGCATACATACAAAAGAATACATACATACACATACTTTCGTATAATTTCCTTAGGCCAACAAAACAGATGGGCGGGCGTGACGATCACAACATTCTGCCAACGCCCGACCACTGCCACCGAGGGGTGACTGCTCGCATGAACAAAAAAAGTCCCCGGCCTGTTTTACGAGGGCTTCCAGTAACGATGCCCCTCCATCCACCCGACGACCCCCGCCCAGCCCCCACCATCACCGAGCAGACGGCCAAGGTGATTGCCAGGCGCTGCTGTAAATAGCGGGCGACTGTACAATGGGCGCACACTTTCGACTCGGTCACCGGCAGCTATTTTAAAACTGCCAACGGCACGGCCCGCAGGTCCGGTGTGCGTGTTGCAACAGTGGAGTGGCGGCTTTGCTCGTGATAAGTTTAATCCACCCTTTCGATGTGCTTTACTTAAAGTGGTTGAGAGGCCGCCGAGAGCGGAGGGCAGAGGTCGCAAATGGGTTTTGATTCCTTACCCGTACCCATACCCGGCCGCACCAGGGTCGCAAACGGCTACCCGTACCCGTACCCGGCCGGGTACGGGTAGCCGGGTATCGGGTACCCGGTTGCGACCTCTGGCGGAGGGTCAATACGAACACAAGTTAACGTCAGAACATCAGCGAATACGGACTGCATCAAGCAAAACGAGCAGTGGCAACGGTGGTAAATTGCACCGCGCTATGAACCCAGCGACCTGATGATTTTGACTCCCAGCCATCAAGTGGAGTGTAATGCCTAGTCCTGACATTAACCACCCTCCGCTTGAAAACCTACGCGCACGAGCCAAACGAATGGTCAAATAACTCCCATGACCGGCGTGGCGTGGATGGGTTTTCTCACAAGGCATAATCTAAACGGATAACATTCACACGATCCCTCCGCGCACGCGTTGAGCACGTACAGCCGAGAATCGACAAACCCAGACACGGGACCCTAAGCGCGACAACCTCTCTTCCGCCACCTCCACCGCGGTTTACTCATTAACCAGCCGGCGACATTGAACCGGTTGCATAATCGGCGCACGGCAGTAAGTCCCACCCGCGCGCGTGTGGAAAAACACTGCCGAGAAGCGAGTGCGCGAGCGCGCCCGAACCGCGGCTGGCACACGCCCCCACGGTCACGCGCAACGACGACAGCCGACTCCCGCACTGCCAGCGCCGGCGAGTGGCATCATCGGCGTGACGCGAATGAGTGGCCGAGCAAAGAGCGTGACGAGAGGAGGAGGTGAAAGAAGGTGACAACCTTCGCGCGGTCTTCCATGTGACGCGTGAAAGAGTAACGAATGTCATCTGTTCCAAGTGCTCATATAAGGTTGAGCTGACCTAGGGGAGACCCAGGACCAGTTCTCATACCCATTGTCCACCGATGCTAGCCATGGGTGGGAAGCAAACGCAGGTGGGGAGGTTTATAGCACAATGCGCGGATTTCTGCGGTGCCACTTGTAATACATGGGCTCCGTAGAAAATTATATCCAAGTGTATAAATCAGCGGTGGGAAGGTTACAGTCCCAAGGGCCGGCCAAACATGGCCCGCTGTTTCAAGTTCATACGACTCATGGCCACATGAGAACCTACCACTTAGAAATGACCCACAAACAATATTTATCTGTTACTACAAACGTCTTAGCCGCAAAGAATGGGATTCTAGAGGGTAATATTTTTGTACTGGCAGCAAAACCATGTTCGTAATGTTCGCATGCTCAGTCACTTTTAACCCTGCGAGGGCCTCTTGCAGTCAGAGAAGTGGTTGAGCTGCATGTTCATGTGTGGCCCATGCCAAAAGTGTTTGAAAGCCCTGTTCAGCACCGTGTATGGAAAAGGATCTCCACCCCTGGTTTAGGTGATCGAGTTCTCACCGGCTTTGTATGCGATGGAGTTGGCTCGAACCACAGACTTCTTGTAGCACAGGAACACAGAGGCACCCCACTGAGCAAACAAAAACAACGACCATGGATTTAACTTCACACACAGCAGGTTTTCACAGTCAACAGGTACGATTCAAAATTACATTTTGGGTTTTGTCAAGGAACAATTCAGCCGAATTTATGTTCCGAGATCCTCCGACCACCCGACACAGCCAAACAACATCAAATTATCAGGTGAACGAGTGTTTGAGGAGCCAAGTTTATTGTTTAAATTCGCCGGTTAAGTTGAAGAATTCTCACGACCGAATTTAGGAGTTGGATGCGGCGTTTCGCTTGAAACTGCGTCAAGCGTCATCATGACAATGGAATTTTTATGCATTCCGCAGCAAAACAGCAACAGAATCCATGAACTGGTGAGCGCTGTTACGATTGCAGAGCCAAGAGTAATATTCGCGCATCTCAAAGTCCGAGTTTTTATTATTTTAGTTTTTATTTGACCAGGTAAAGGCTCACTGGCTGCTGTACATTTTATCTGTGACGGTCCCACCTGATGACGGAGACTTGTGTTGCCTCCGAAACGTCGTGATTTATTATTTTATTTCTATAATTTTTTTTTTTTAACTACGTGACTTTACCAAAAAAAACCTAAGAGTAAAATTAAACTATTTTATTTTCGCAGGTAAGGCCCCACGAACCTATTATCTTCTTTTTCAGAAGCGACCTGGCCGCAGACGATAGCTCAACCAAGTGGCTTATCGTGTGGAAATTTATAGCAGCCAAATACTCTAAACACAAATGCGGAGGGAAAAAGTGGAGGTCCTGGAGAGAAATCCACATGACCACAGTTGTGAAGATCCAAACTCCAAATATTCAAAGGCTTGAGGGTTCGGATTGAACCCACGACCTCCTGCATAGCCAGCGAGGTGCTTACCATCTCGCCACCAGGTTTGTTTACAAATGGAGGGTGGTGGTGCTCTTAAACAGCATCCCAAAGGAAATGACAACGATTTTCTGACCGTATAACAGTGAGCGATGGCTCTAAATCTTATTTACAATTACAATGCGGATTTACAGGGCGCCCAAATGCAACGGCATCTCAGGGTGCTGTAAAGGAACAGTGGGGGCATATTTAAAAGGCGAATGAGTCTTGTTACAGCCTAGTATTTAATGTTCCACAGCAACACAGGTGTCTGTGTACGGTATTGATTTTCATGTCAAACGGGGGTTTCCCAGATTTTTTTGCAGAGTGCTATTGCCAATAACATGTGGAAATCCGGGAGTTTAGTTTAACGAGCCTCACTCAGCTGCCAAAGGCCCAGAAAGTCAGAGCGGTCAAGAGTGAGCATTAATAATTTATCAACGATGATTGGCTGAGTCACACATCAACCAGGATTTGAACTCGCAACACCTTCCATTGGCGGGCAACTCGCTCCACCGCTGTGCCACCTGGCTGGTAAAGTATGGAACCAGTGGGTGGAAATCCATACACAGATCGCCCTGGATGTATGTATGTATGTTGAACTTTTTTCGCACCGTAGGTAGCCATCCGTGCGAATCGGAGGTGCCGAGTAAGGACGAAACAACTAAACACAAAAATCAGTTCCAAGGAAATTATTTTAAACTGCACAGCTCCAGTGGCTTTCTAACATCGGAAGGAAGAGCATTCCAGACGGCTGCAGAAGCGCATCTAGAAGCGCCGTGCGATGCGGTGACCTCCTTTCTTCGACGGCCAGCCAGAAACCGCCGCCGCGAGGATGACCCGGAGTTTGGCGCGCGATTGGTTCACACGCTCCTTGACGATCACGCCTACCGCTCACCATGCCAGAGTTGAGGTTCTTGTTGACCTTGCAGAAGGTGTGCGGCGGCGTCTCGCCCTTGCTGGCGACGATGATGCAGATGTCGGTGACGGCGAGCGCGTTCTGGCTGGCGGACTCGTGCGCGCGCCGGTACGTCACGTAGATGTGCTGCGCGCTGTTGTTCACGTTGGCCGGGCGGCCGTACGGCGTAGTGCGGATAGTCTCGCAGCCCTGCATCAGGCGCTCCTTCCACTCGTATAGAACCCTGACCAGCACCAGCAGCAGCAGTAATAGGAGTAGCAGTTGCAGTAATAGAAGCAGCAGTAGCGGCAACAACAGCAAGAACATTTAATCATGATATAAAAGTCTGCTAATAATGCCGCTTATCAATGTCATTGCCCTCATTATTTATCACTTGGCAAGTTTGCAGAAGTTTTAACTTACAATTGCAACAGTTGTCAGGCTCTCACCCAAACAATAACAGAGCCAGACGAGTCACGATGTCTATTAGTACGCATCCAACTCGCTCACCTTCCCTTAAATGCGCAGCAACATATTAAAATGTAACATGTATATTATTTATCCACGTAAGACTCACCGAATCTCAAGGTGCTTTTTCATCAGGGTCCCGCTTTGGGATGTTTGACCAGTACCACTTTAACTTTACAATGCAGCCCTGGCTACAGGGCTGACTGACCAACCGACGGCCGGCCGGACTTAGACGAACGGACGTACTAACTGAGCGAGCGAGCGAACGAGCAATCGAGCGATTGAGCACATGCCCTTACCCCAGATCGGTGAGCGGCGGCTTGTCGCGGCCACGCCGATAGCACAGGTAGAGCTGGGGGCTGCTGAGGCTGCCGTGGTTGAGGTCGGCATCCAGGTTCGTCGGGGTCACTTCGATGCACGTGTAGCCCTGTGGCGGCTCCTCGCCCTGCGAGCGGCACACCACCGCCACGTCCGTGATGGGGTCGCGCCGCCGCACCGCCTTTTGCCGCCCCTCGGCGAACGCCATGTCCTCTTCCAGGGGCTTGGACTCCTCCGTCAGGCCGGCCACCACGAAGTAGTCGGCCACGCGTGGGCCTTTCTCCTCCATGGCTGGGGGCGCCTGCTCCTACTCGCTCTGCGCGGCAGAAAGCGTACGGGGGAGACAACGGGAGAGATGGCGGAACGGCACCTCCGATTAACACGGTTGGCTACGTACGGTGCGAAAGAAGTTCAGATTACGTACAAGGTAAACGTGAACAACACGCAAACTTTCGATTTAAAGCTTTCGTGACTGCAGGGATTCATCTTCTTGTCTCCCCGACAGACCTGTTCTTCACCTGAGGACGGGCTGCTTGCGTTGTGGCCGAAACGTCGTGAGAATTATTTTATTATGTTTGATTTTTATTATTTTATTATTTCCCTTCTACGGGACTTTACTGAAAGAACCAAGAAGATAAACACGGAAACTGTTAATAAAGCCCTTTGTGCGGATCCCTATATTCTGTGGACTGCTGCATCGCACGACGGCTTTGGCAGACCTTCATCCAGCAGTGGATGAATCATGGCTAATGATGCGGATGATTATTAAAATCCAGCCAGGTTTGCTCAGAGATCAAAGCACTGATCTGGAAGCCACCGAGACCATGGATTAAATCTGGGTTTCAGCCAGCTGGGATTAAACCGAGCTCTCAAATGTAGCGAGTTGGTGGTCTTAGCTCGGTCACTAATGACTGCACAAAAAAACCCCTATCATATAAAGTTAGGTGCTTCACCTAATTTGGGTATTTCACCTAATTTCACACAAATTCCAACTCAGGATGACAAGTTTGGAAAGGCCTCGAAATCCGTGGGGGTTTCTGTTCTTTGAAAATCTGCTGGTGAAAGTAGAATTCGCGAATTTAATAGACAATGTTTATCTGGGGAAAATGGGGTTAGGCTCCCGTGTCCGCTTGGACATATGGGAGAAAATGAAAATGTTTCATAATATTAATCCTGTACGCAAAAATGTCATCCACATTATTTAGTAATATGTACAATAATAGAATAGATAACACACATAATACAACTAAATAGAAGACAATCAAATACACTCGAATCTTCAGAATCGGAATCTTTATTTAGCCTGGAGAAAATCTGATGAGCTATGAATTTTTCACAGATGTCCACTAGTTTTACAGATGTCTAATACATTATACTGTACATTTGGAAGCTTTATTTACCTCGGATTATGATGGGGGTGTGATGATGATGATGGTCAGCAGATGCACTATAACAAGCTAGTCTATTAACAACTCTCCTTTCTGAGCTAAACTCATAACTTATTTTTGTCTTTAACTCTCACTATTACTTCCTCGCTCGACGCTTGCACCCGACGATCGAAATAAAAAAGCACCTAGTGAGTGGATTCTTAAAATCCATTTATAATATTTTTATTTTTTTCCCGAGTGTCTGCTGCTGCTGCTGTGTCCTGCACAGGCGCGTTGAGATCCTTGATGAAAAGCCGCAAAATAAATGGAATTGTTACGACTGCACTGCACAAGGAACACTTTCTCCGTGACACGACGTTGCCAAATCGCGAACAGCCGGAGGAGAAAAAGGCGCGAAACGTACACCATGGACAAATATAAAATCGCGAACAATCTAATTTCACGAAAGAAAAATCCGCGAATGAAGGTTTGTTTTTCAACTGTATTGTCTTGACAGCCAAGCGACTAAACCGTCTCTACAGCAGGACACGAGGTTAAGTGCCGCCAGCACTCCTGATGTGGATGAGAGGTCACTTGAAGTGGGGGCCTCAGAAGTGAGGGTGAATCACTGCTCTGTAACAGTTCTTTTTCAATAGTTTTTTTTGCAACAAAACAAAAGCCCAGTATAAGACACAGACCTGTTCTGTAAAAAGTTTATAAAATGGGCCCCTGCGTGTCGCGAAACGGACGCATGACGTGCGCAACACGGTTTGAAGAAAACTAAAATAAAAAAGGCCAAAAAAAACTTTTAAAAAGAGAAGAGGAAAGGCTGCCACACTTCCACTCCTGAGTTGGGTTGGAAGGCCATGATCCCTCCAAGGTCGATAAAATAATGACCACGTTGTGAGACGCTGATGGTGGATCTTATGGAGGCATTGGCCCAAAAATGGTGATTCCAAATATGATCACAACCAGTACTGAATATCTCTCATTGCCCCTAGCGTGCAATAAATAATATTGAGTGGATACTCTTAGTTCCTTCGGTAAAGTCACGTAGGTAAAAAATGAAATAAAAATTAATAAAAATAAAACAATGAAAATCTTAGCTGCAGCTAATCTGGCTGTGATGGTCCCACCTGATGACGGAGACTTGTGTTGCCTCCGAAACGCCGTGATTTTCATTGTTTTATTTTTATTAATTTATATTTCATTTTTTACCTACGTGACTTTACCGAAAGAACTACGGGTATGAATCCTTGCAGTCACAAAAGCTTCAAATCTAGAATCTTGAGTGGATTTATCCAGAAAGGCCTCAATGCCTGTCCAGACATTATCAGTACGGTACAGCTGTGGATACTTGGGCAATTCCAAGTTACTGAGTGGCTATAGAAGAGTGCACATGGGTTTTTATCGATTAAAATTGATTATTTTACTCTCACTAATCATGCATAAACCTGCATATATAAGAGGATAATAATTAGATGTCCATGCAGACAAGGTGAGCAGCCGACTTTCTGTACTGCCACCTCCTGACCAGGTCACCAACCAACAGCCAAGGAGTTAACGCACATTGAGATCCATTAAGAGTACCGTAGTTAATACACGCAAGAGGTGATTTCTAGACAGCAAAATGTGCGATTGCGATCGTAGGATTGATCTTCCTATCGTGCCTTGCATGCCGTGTGACATCATCGCGCTGCGCGTGTAACGCACGCAGACTTGCTTAAGACCGCCATCTCCAAAGAGTCAAAACCGTGGCACGTTATTTTATGCAGCTCAAAAGATGTCGAATTATTTCACGGATATATTTTTGCCTGAGCCACCAAACCACTGCCTGCAAAGTGATGGGACTGCAGGCAGCAGCCGCAACACCCAGCGCAATGAACATGACCATGCCAATGACATTAGTGGCAGATGGTATTTTTTGTGTTTATTATACAACTTGCTTTTATGGTGTGTGGGTGTGCGCGCACGCGTGTCCATGTCTCCATTACAAAAGAAGCATTATGGCTTTGTGAAATGGCCATTCATGTGATAATTCTCTCACCCACAATGTCAATTGCTATGCAACGTATATATGAAAGGACTCGTACACGATGTATGTTACGTTCGTAAGAATGCGTTGTATTGGAAGCCACTGGAGCTACGAACTATTAAATCGAGATTGAAAACTCACTTCTTTAGAACTGATTTTGCGTTTAGTTTGTGGTCCTTCCCCGCACCTCCGATTAGCGCGGTACGGTGCGAAATAAGTTCAACGTACAGTAAATGTATCGATTGACCCTGTGACAGATTCTGTGAACGTCTGCTTCTGGGGGAAGGGGTCACGATTCTAACCAAACATTTATTTAGCTTGTGTCCCGTCTCAACCGCAATGTTTTTATTTATTTCAGTTGCTTGTTTGGTTTCTCCACCAGCATATCATTTGCATGAATAATTGACAGTCAACACACAGAGGTTGATGCATGTACTGTACTGTGAAAGTAAAAAAGGGTTGTCACGGTTTGATGCATCGTTACACGCATATCAGAAAGTGAATTAAATAAAATGGAAATCATATTTAAAAAACAAAAGTGTTTAAACGGAAATTAATTATTATTCTGGCAACAGCACACACATACACACGTGTAGAATGCAAATCCACACCATTAATACAAAAGGCATGTAACAAATATGACTGTACCATCTTAATTACCAAGCTAACACTGAAATATTTATCTGGTGGCAAGTCACAAGCTCTTGACAAAAACCCACATAAGCCAAATCCGGTTTGCTCACAGTACTTCAAAGCAGAGCCGTGCCATCCATTGTCATCACGATGGTGCGTCGAGATTTCAGCAGCCGTGAACTTTGCAGTCAATGACATCATTCCTTTGCAAACCACTGAGCAGAACTGGAGCGGTGAGTTTTTTTTAATGTAAGTTTTTCAATTTCACACATTCATTTCATTCGAAGCGCGTACGCCGTGCATGCAAGTCCGTTGCGCCGAGAATGTGCAGCAGAAGCAGCAACGACCACGACAAAATATTCGGGAAAGTAAAAAACTAAAATTCTAGATTTGAAGCTTTCGTGACTGCAAGGATTCATACTCTTAGGTTTTTTCGGTAAAGTCACGTAGGTAAAAAATAAATAATAAACAATTATAGAAAAAATAATAGAAATAAAATAATAAATCCTTTTATTCTTTATTTCTATTCATTTTAATATTTATAAATAATAAGTAATAAAAATAATAGAAAAAATTATAGAAATAAAATAATAAATCCTTTTATTATTTTACTTTATTATTTTATTTCTATAAATTTTTATTTTTATTATTTATTTTTTACCTACGTACCTTTACCGAAAAAACCTAAGAGTATAAAAAAGAAAACTCCTCTGTGCCGCACGCAAACCCGGCGGCCGTGGCTTCCGCGGGTTTCCCAAGACGTTTGCCGAGAGCCCTTCGCGGCACGAGAGAACTCACGAAATGACACGGCGATTATTGCCAACTCGCGAAAAACCCCATCTGGCGCACACAAACTCACTTCGCGATGTCGCACACGGTTAGAAAAATTCTCTCGAGCGCTCATTGCATGAGATGGGTTGCACTGGAGCATGGAGGAAGGCGCGGAGTGGGTGGTGTGTGGGAGGGGATGGCGGCAGCTGTTTTCAAGCCCCCAATGCCTCTTCACGACGCGCACGTAAAGCTTCCGCGTCCCACAGCACGGGCTGTAGATGGCACCTGTATGAAGTCACGGCACGTGAGACTCCGTGACTTCCTCCGTGTTACCAACAAATTAAAAAAACACTCCAGGGGAAGGCTGTAAAAATTTCAATCTGGGTGAAAACTCAAAAAGCGATTTCCGGCCTGGATAAGCAATGGATGGGGTGGTCGCCACCATCTTCTGTTTACAGCCTCTGGAGCCAGTGATGGAAATTCCACATTCCTATGGCGCGCGGGGGGACG